GGAGGTGGCCGGAAGCCACGCCTCACCGGAGGCCACGAATGGCCTGTGCCTTCCTCACCTTCCTCCTCCCAGTGGGGGCGGGCTGCAGGGCCCAGCCGACGGCCTCCCCCAAGCCCTGGGCAGGCGGGTGGGGTCTGCTTCGGCTCTGGCGGGTCTTCCCAGGCCACGCATGCCCCCTCCACCTCGGTGAGGGCTCTGAGCCACACCCACCCTCCCGTGCCAGCTGGCCCTGTCCAATGGGGCCCTCAGATCCACGGTGAGGGGGCCCCCAGAACATGGATGCGGCCACTCTGTCTACTCTTCCAGGGCGGGGTGCTGTCCCCAGCCCCGAGGGAGGCAGCACCGACCCCCCCACCCTGGACAGGAGCCAGGTCCCAGGTCAGGGTGTCCCTGGCCACAAGGGATGTGGGTGGCTGGGGAGCTGCAGCTCAGATCAAACGCCCGGTCCCTCCCTGGGCCCGGCCAGCTGTGCGGAGGAGCAGGGCTGTGGCGGCCACGGGCTACTGTGGACAGTCTCAGCCTGATCCTGCTCACCCAGGCCCCTCCCACCATCTCCCAAATGGCCTTGGAGGGACCCAGAACCACCCTGGACCCTGGTGGCCATCCCTGGTCCCAGGACCTGTGTCTCCCTAGCTCGCCCAGCAGTCAGGGCCGCTGCCCCCAGGCCAGGAAATGGGACGGCGAGGGTCTGGGGATGCCGAGCCGCCGTGGCCAGGGGTCATCTGGGAAGGCCGCTTAGCGCTTCTGGTTCTTGCTGGGGCCCAGAGGCCTCCTGCCAACACCGCGGGCTGATGTTTGCTCACTGCTCCACCAGGGCGGCCCAGGCCCACAGCTGCCCCCTGCACAGCCCTGCGCATGCCAGCCAGGCAGGGGTCGTGGCAGGAGCTGGGCATGGGCCCTGGAACAGCAACCGCCCAGGTGCCAGGGTGGCAGCACCCATGCTGCCCTGGAGGGGGCGCTGCGCTGCGCTGCGGCCTGCCCGGTCCCTGCCGCTCGGTGTGACCCTCGAGTCCATGTGTGAATAAAAGGCTAGAGACCCACGGCACAAGGCCTCCTGTCCGCATCCCTCCTTCCTGCCCCTCGCTCACCACTGCGGGGCGTGGCCCAGGGTGCACTGGGAGATGGGAGGGGCTTCAGCACAGATTGTCCCCAGCCAGCCACTCACAGGGGCCTTGGGCAGGCTCAAGCTCCTGGTAGGTGGCCGAGGCCAGGGCACAGGGACCAGCACTGCCCCTGGCCAGGCTGGGCCTGGTGTGACCCGAGGGGCGGGGGTTTAGTCTTCCCCAGCCACCCTCGTCCCCAAGCCAAGGGCCCTGCCTCGTCCCTAGGGTGCCCGTCCCTGCAGGCTCACACGGTGGCGGGCTCCCCGGTCAGAGGCAGCAGAGCCCACGCGGACACAGCAGCCTGGGCCCTGCACGTGCTTTATTCGGGAGCTGCACTCCGCAGCCCCCACCCAGGCCCTGAGTGCTGGGGTCCCGGCAGCCCCCTGGGCTCCAGCGCAGCTCCACGTGGGCCTCCAGGCCCCTCCCCGCCCTGCCCGGTCACCGCAGCGTCCTTGCCCTCTGCCCCTCCACGGTCCCAGGAAGCCGAGCGCCCGGTGGCCCAGCTCCTGCCCTGCGAGCCCGGCCAGCCCCAGCCTGGGTGGGCCAGGACGCAGCCGCAGCAGCTCCCCGTGGTCACTGCACGCCGTAGCCAGAGTGCACGTGCTTCGGGTGGCCCCGTGGCGTCCTGGTGCTCCCCGCGTCCTGAGGGGCCCCCTTGCTTGGCTCTTTCTGCAGCTTCCGGGAGCTCCGCGTGAGCCAGGAGGAATAGTGATGCTCCCTGGCTGTGGGGAGAGGGCGCAGTCAGACAGGGCAGGTGGGGGGAGGGCGCGGGGCAGACGGAGAGCTCAGAGCTCGCGGGGCAGGCGGGGGCAGGTGGGAGGGCAGACAGCTCGCAGGGCTTACGGGAGAGGGTGTAGGGCAGACAGGGCAGGCGGGGGCAGATGGTGGGAGGCAGAGGGAGAGGGTGTAGGTCAGATGGGGGAGAGGGTGCAGGTCAGGTGGGGGGAGGGTGGGGGGCAGGGTGGGGCAGACGGCCAGCTTGCAGGGTAGACGGGGAGAGGGCAGGCGGCGACAGACAGTTGGGGGTAGACAAGGGGAGGGCACAGGGCAGGTGGGGGGGAGGGTGCAGGGCAGATGGGAGCAGGTGGGGGACAGAGCTCGCAAGGTAGACGGGAGAGGGAACAGGGCAGACGGGGGGAGGGCGCAGGGCAGACGGGAGGGGGCAGACAGGGGAGAAGGTGCAGGACAGACGGGGGCAGGCAGGGGCAGGGAGCAGATGGGGAGAGATGAGGCAGACAGGCAGGTAGGGGACATACTGGGGGCATGTGGGGGGCAGGGAGCAGGTGAGAGCAGACAGGGACATGGGGGCTGAGTAGCAGGTATGGACAGATGGGGACGATGTGGGGGCAGGCGGGGCACAGACAGAACGGTCACCCGCCCGCCCTGCTCAGCCTGGACGTGCCCTCCCGTGGGCCGGAGAGAGGCCTCCTTGCCCTCTGCTTCCTGTGGGGATCCAGGAAGCCATAAACGCCGCCGGAGCCACACTGTGGACAGAAGGTGGCCCCTTGACCCCCAGAAGTGGCCCCCAGCCCCTGTGGACGGCTCTGGCGTGCCAGTGCAGGTGTCAGCAGCGCACACAAAGGTACAGGCGTGCGCATGCTCCTACATGCGTGTGCGTTCCATGGGGACCCCATGTGCACCCTCCCCCAGGGCCAGGCCCCATGAGAACTGCATCCGGGACCCTGCTGTCCCTCAGGGTTAGCAGGCAAGACGGAGCCCCACCCCCAAGTCCACCTCCCTAGCCTCAGGGCAGCGCAGGGCATCTGCTGGACACAGAGGACAGGGCCAGTGCAGGCCAGAGCGCTAAAGCCGAGCAGCACCTGGGGGAGGTGGGGGACCCCAGGGCCATGAGGCGAGGAGTTGGGAGACCCCACCCCCACCCCACAGAGAAACGAACCCGTGGCTCTGCCAGTGAGCACCAGCGAATCCAGACGCTTCCTCCGCGGGCACAGCCTTCCCAGCTCCCAGCCCAGTCTTCTGAGCCCAGCGTGGGGAAACAGAGTCCCCAGGATGCGCCAGGCAGACATGTGGTCGGGCCTGCCGGCCTCCCACCCCCCAAGGACATGCGGCCGCCCAGGGGAGGGTCTGGTTTGGAAAGGTGACAGCAGCTCAGGCAACACCTCTGACACACCTCCCACCCTCACCATGTCCCAGTGTGAGCAGACTCCAGACCCAGCTTCTCACGAGTAAGCTAAACCCACAGGCCCTCGCCAACACGGATGGAAGCCCCACAGCCTCTGTGGGCGGTGGCGGCTCCCACATCTCCGGCAGGGACTTGTGTGACAGGTGCACCTGACAGCAGGCGGGGCTGCCGCTGGAGCTGAGACCAGGGTGTCCCTGTGCACTCAGGGGTGACAACAGGACTCTGCTCTCTGCAGACGGGGGCTGGGCTGGGAGGGCCAGCAGGGAGAGGGTGTCTAGGACATGGACACACCGAAGTGGGGCTGGAACCAAGACCTGGCCCTGCCCCCAGAGAGCAGAGAGCCCACCCCTCCCACACAGGCTCTCAGCCTGAATGGAGCCCTGGCCACAAAGACCGGGCCCCAGACTCCGCGAGGACGACGACTGGAGAGAGCAGCAGAGAGGAGATCTGCACTCAGGCCAGGACCCCGCCCGTCACAGAGCAAGGGGTCTGCGTCCCAGGACCTCCAACTGCTGCTGCCGGAACAAGGAGCGAAGGTGGCTCCGCAATCTCACCGCTGAGCAAGCCGGCCCAGAGACGGCAGGTTCCCAGCTGCACGCACGACGGGGCCACGTGAGAGGGACCACGTGAAGGCCTCCCACATGGACACGACAGGGGACATGTGAGGGCCTCCCACACGGACACGACAGGGGACACGTGAGAGGGACCATGTGAGAACCTCCCACATGGACACGACGGGGGACACGTGAGGGCCTCCCACACTGACACAACGGGGGACATGTGAGAGGGACCACATGAGGGCCTCCCACATGGACACAACGGGGGACACGTGAGAGGGACCACATGAGGGCCTCCCACATGGACACAATGGGGGACACGTAATGGGGGACACGTGAGAAGGGCCACGTGAGAGCCTCCCACAGATATGACAGGGGACATGTAGAGGGACCACGTGAGGGCCTCCCACATGGACACCATGGGGGACACGTGAGAGCCTCCCACATGGACACAATGGGGGACACATACGAGGGACCACATGAAAGTTTCCCATGTGGACATGACAGGGGACATGTAGAGGGACCACGTGAGGGCCTCCCACGCAGACATGGCGGGGGACATGTGAGGGCCTCCCATGTGCACACAACAAGGGACACGTGAGGCTTCCCACGTGGACACAACAGGCAGCATGACAGGAGAGCTGAGATTACACACACACACACACACACACACACGGCATACACAGACGGCGACCACTGCGGGGAGAAATGCCCGCTGCATCTGTCTTCCACTCTCAGAGGACTCTTAACTGGGCAGCAGTAGTGCCCGCCACATGGGAGGTGTGACGGGCGGCTGCCAGCCCAGCTCCAGGGCGGGACAAGGCAAGGCGAGGGGCCTAGGCCCCCTGTGCCCCCTGTGGCCCCCTGACGTGGCGTGGTTCTAGTTTTAATATCGCACAGGTGGATCCGCGTCCCTCGAGCCTCCGTGAGGAGCACAAGCCCCGCGCAGCGGGAGGAGCAGGGGTGGTCACTGAAGGCAGCCAGGCCTGGGCTGTGGCGGGCGGGGCACAGGGACTCCGGGGGAGCAGGCTGGGCCCTCAGCTATGCTGCCTGCACCTCCACAGAGCACGGGGCTCCAGACGCCCACACATTCCGGGCCCTTTGTCTCATCACAGTCTTCTGGGCCGGAACCCGAGCCCCACCCCGGCCTCCTCCCCTCTCAGACTCCACACCTGCTTCCACTGGCAGCCCCCGCTGATGGTCACCTGGCCAAGCTCCAGGCAGCTGCCCACTCCCCGAAAGGGCAGCCCACCCTGCCCCAGTCTGAAATGGGGCCCCTCCGTGTGGGGCCCGTCAGCCCCTCGGCACCCAAGGGTCCCCGGCCTGCCTGGTCCTTGTCTCTCAGGGGCCTGTCCAGCTCGGACACTGCTGCCTCCTCCTGCCTCTCCACAGCCCCTCTGGCCCGGCTTCCCTTCCAAATCAGACCCGAATCCTGCCCTCTGCCCTCCCCATCCAGCCTCACTTCATGGACGCCGTGGGACTGGGCAGGCGGCCGCGCCTCCTCCCCAGACTGGGGTGGGGGGCCGTGAGCTGGTGCTGAGCCCAGTCCCGCCCAGGAGAGGACCCGAGAGTCCAGGCGCGCGGGGGCTGTGGAGGAGCAGGGCAGACAGCAGAGGGTCAGGGGGGCGGACTGCTGGCCTCAGCCTGAGGGAGGGGACACCAGGTCCTCCCAGCAGGGCAGACTCAAGCCCCAGCACCCCAGCGTCTCCACCCCAGGGACTCCCCGGCTGGGTGTGTCCGGGGAGGGCAGAAAAGGCCCCAGCATTCCTGCTTCTTCCTGCAGAGCCAGGATGGGCCTTGGGGCAGAAAAGGGCTGGGCACCCACGAGAGCCACAGGCCGGGCCGGGAGAGCCCCCAGGACACACGCCGGGGAGGGAGAGGAGGAAGCAGAGCCCAGGGCAGGGGCTGGAGCAGGGGCCGGGGCAGGTGGTCCGCTCAGTCCTCCGGAGCTCAGCGCAGGAGCAGCTGAGAACTTTCTGGAAGGGCAGGGCCTGGGGTGGTAGCCCAGGGGTGGGTGCCGCTTGCTCAGAGCACTCTGGGCGCTGGACTCCGACAGCCTGGCCCATAGAGGGGACGCTGACCACAGAGCCGGCGACACCCCGAGGCTCTCTACCAGACCCAGCTGCTCCCCCATTTGGGCACTGCTGGCCTCTCCCACACATGAGGCCTGGCATGCACACAGCGGGGCTGGGGGTCACACGGTCCCTCTACCTTCCCCAGACGCTGCAGTGACTGCTACGACTCCGGGAGAGCTGGCCAGGTTCTGGAATATTCTGAAGATGGAGGAAACCAAATCCCAGGCAAACCGGATGCTCCAAGTGAATGAAGAGGAAGAAGAGCTGTGGCTGGAGCCGTCAGAGGTCGTGGGGCTGTGAGGGTGGAGCGGGGGCTGGGTAGGAAGACGCACCCTGGAGCCAGCAGGCAGGGACCAGGCTGGGCGAGGGCAAGCAACAGGTAAAGGTTCCCGGGCCAGAAATGAAGCCACACTTATAGAATGACCGAAGAGCAAACGTGGAAGTCCAATCATCTATGGAGAGGAGTGAGCGCCTTGTGTCCACCTGAGAGACAGTCACTGTGTGCCCACAAGGCCGCGAGTGCCCATCACTGCCACAGCCACTGCCACCTAAAGCCACCACTGCCACCACTACCACTGTCCCCTCCGCCACTGCCACCTAAGGCTGCCAGGCCGAAGGACTCGCCACCTCCACCTGCAGAGACCGTGGCAGCCACCACAGTGGCCACGGTGCAGGTCTCCTTCACCACGTGCGGGGACAATGTGGTCGTCATGTGACCATGAGAGGGACGGACCTCCCTGCAGAGCCACCTGTCCACTGGGGGATGTGGCCTCCATGTGCCGGCCACTGAGTCAGCAGCTGGGCCCCCGCCCTGAGCCAACAGCTCCTGCCTGGCAGAGTTTGCCGTCCAACACGTGGGGGACACAGGGCAGAGGCAAGGGCCCCCAGCTGCTGACACAGTGCTGGACTCAGTCCCAGCCCCTGCCCACACCCCCCTATCTAGCAGCCACCATCCCACGCAGCTCTCCCCTGGCACGCAGGCTCTCAGGCAGCAGGGACAGAGGACGGGCTCCCTACAGGTGTGACCCAGAGAGGAGACCGGAGCAGCAAGGGGCAGGCAGCTGGGCCGGGCCTCATGGGCAGCAGGGCATGGTGGCTGCTGGGAGGCCCTGGGCCCAGCAGGCAAGGGTGGGAGGAGCTGCCCTGGGGCCGGCAGGGCTGTGAGACCACAAGTAGGACAGGGGAGGTGATGGCAAAAGGTTCTAGAAGTGGCTGGACTGAGCGGGCGTTGGGGGCAGAGCTGTGCTGAGTGCCCGGTGAGGAGGACGAGTGATCTCTGACAGCCCAGGAGCCAAGCACAGTCCTGCCTCAGCCCTAGGGGCCGGGACCTGGGGGCCCTGGGCACCCAGCCAGCCCACAAAGGGCACAAGTCCCCAAGACATTTCTGGTCTTGACAATCGCTAATTCATCGGAAAGAGTGGTGGTGGCTGGTGCCTTTCGGGGGCCCTGAGGAGAGGGAGGTCTGGTCGGCAGGTGCACAGCCACAGGGGCACCTGCAGCACCCAGGACAGGAGGCGCGTGTGACCCAGGGGAGGGGCACCCAGTCCACTGCCCATCTGGGGGAAGATCTAGCGAGGAGGCTCCCGTGCCTTATGAGCAAGACTATCACAGTCATGCACAAAGCGGCTGTAAAGACCTGGGCACGTGAGGCCATGAGTGCCCGCCACTCCTCATCCACCCGTCCCTCGGCAGGTCAGGCTCCAGGGACAGCTCAGAAACGCGAAGGAGAAGCACTCGGCACAGCCAAGTTCTAGCTGCCAGAAGGTTCTGCCCATACAAGGCAGGAAGGACTGCTACCATTTGGAGAGCCATCTCAATGCCAGGAAGCTGAACTCTCCAACAGAAGGGAATGGGGGGGGTCGCCTCTGCACATGGACAAAGCCACGTGGAAGCCACAGCTCAGCAGTGAGAGGTGCAGAGGGACCCTCGCCCGCCACCTGAACCTCAAAGAGCACTCTGAGAACACAGTCGACCACACTGCTAACACTGACTTATTTCACAAAGGGCACAACAGACAGGAGACGGCGCGTGTACACACCCTTTAAGGCGTGAAAACACATCATGGCATGCCTACAACCAGGCACCACGCTGGCTGACACGCAGAGTGTAGAAAGTAGGCGGCTGACAGAAACCAGTCAGCAGTGTATGAAGTACTCATGAGAAACTATGGGGTGCAGCTGTGTGAGCATGTGTGTGAGGATATGTACACGTGTCTGGTGTGAGGATGTGTCCATGGGAAAGCACACATGTGTGAGCATGTGTGTGAGGATGTGTACATGGGAATGCACGTGTGAGCAGGTATGTGATGGTGTGCACATGGGAAAGTGCACATGTGTGCAGGTGTGAGGATGTGCACATGTGAATGTGTGAGCATGTGTGTGAGGGTGTGTACATGTGAATGCATGTGTGTGTAGGTGTGAGGATGTGTCCGTGGGAAAGTACATGTGTGTGCAGGTGTGTGAGGATGTGTCCATGGGAGAGTACATGCGTGTCCAGGTGTGAGGATGTGTACATGGGAAAGTACATATGTGTGAGCATGTGTGTGAGGATGTATACATGTGAATGCACGTGTGAGCAGGTATGTGAGGATGTGTACACGTGAATGCATGTGTGAGCAGGTGTGTGAGGATGTGTCCATGGGAGAGTACATGCGTGTCCAGGTGTGAGGATGTGTACATGGGAAAGTACATATGTGCAGGTGGGAGGATGTGTACACGTGAGTGCATGTGTGAGCATGTATGTGAGGATGTGTCCATGGGAGAGTACCTGCGTGTCCAGGTGTGAGAATGTGTACATGGGAAAGTACATGTGTGCAGGTGGGAGGATGTGTACACGTGAGTGCATGTGTGAGCATGTATGTGAGGATGTGTCCATGGGAGAGTACATGCGTGTCCAGGTGTGAGGATGTGTGCATGGGAAAGTACAGGTGTGTGCAGGTGTGAGGATGTGCACATGTGAATGCACGTGTGTGCAGGCACGTGAGGAGGTATACATGGGAATGTGCATGTGTGGGCGGATGTGTACATAGGAAAGTACACATGTGTGCAGGTGAGGATGTGTACATGAGAAAGTGCACATGTGTGCGTGAGGATGCATACATGCAGAAGTGCACGTGTGCAAGTGTGAGGATGTGTTACATGGAAAGTGCATGTGTGTGCACAGGTTCCAGCACAGATGAAAGTGTAAGCTCAAAATTCTTGTCTTTGAGGAATATTTCATTTTTGCCTTTTATAAACAATAAGCCTACACTGCCTACATAATCAAGACTTTAAATAAGTGCTTTTAATTTAGGGAAGATGTAGAAAAATATTTAATGGCAAAGGATTTTCCAGGCCTAGCTGAGAACACACAGGGGTGGTCCTCCTGGCAGCCTCACACGTGTCCGTGTGCCCTTGCCATGTTCTGTGTGTGTCCGGGTGGAGCAGCTGCGCTTTGCAAGTGCAGTTGGGCTGGCGGGGTCAGTCCCTCAGTGACTCCTGCTTGCTTTTCTGTCTGCACACTCTCTGACCAGGACAGGACCAGCAAGGCAGGGTGCTCAACACTTCATGGAAAACGCGCACCCCAAGAAACTCAGCTTCCAATTCCACTTCCCACAGTTTCTGCAGCGCCCTTGTACCCCTTTCCCTTTCCAGCAGACGCCGTGCAAGCTGGGGCACCCACATCCACCCCTCGCCGAGCCCCTGCACCCAGAATGGCAGGGGCCCAGCTCACCTCTGGGACGACCTGTGGCCGGCGCCTGGCCCATGCTGGGGTATAGAGGCCCAGCCCTGCGTCCAGGGGGAGCCCCCTGAAAAGCCTGGCGCCCCTCATGTGGGATACAGCAGGGAGCTCCACCGGGCCACAGCTGGAATCCACACCTCCCCGCCCTGTGTAATTCCACCTGTCAGTCAAATGACCCCTTCCCCAGGACCCAGGGGTGGTACCAAGTAAGGATTCCTCTTTCTGACCTCCTAAGAGGCCAGCGATGGGGAGGGGCTCCGTCTCCTGCCGAGGCTCAGAGGATCTCTCCCTCCCCCGCCCCTCCCTCTTTCCCTTCCTCTCCCTCCCCACCCCCCCTTCCCTCCCCTGCCCACTCTATTCCTGGGCAAGGCCCACACACGTGTTTCCCTATCCTCCCTCTGAGCACGGTGTTTGTAAAGTGCAGGACCTGGGATGGGGACGTGGACCCCGCCTTGCCCACAGCACCCTCCCCCGGCGCAGAGCCCAGGAGCGCCAGAGAGCAGGGGTCAGGTCCATCGCTGTGTCTGCCCTGACAGGGCTCCTTCCTGGTGCCCTGTGCCCTCCCCCTCATGGCCACTGAGTGCCGTGTCCATGGTCCTCCAGAACACACCGGCATGGGGCGGACACTCACACAGCACACGCACATGGAACACCAAATGTGAGGTCTGCGGGCGGCAGCAGGGAGCCGTTAGCCCAGGGAAGGCAGTGGCTGGAGCCGCCGGGGGCGGGGCGCAGGGCAGAGGTGAGGGCCGAGGGGCATGGCCAGCACACAGCGTACGGAAGTTCTAGAAGCTGGAGGCCTGTCCCAGGGTGCAGGTGAACGCACACCCTGGGGGCCACTTTATTGCGAGGTCAGAGGGAGACTCTGGGCCGGGCTGGAGGTGGCCGCCAGGTCCAGCAGCCGAGAGGTGGCCCCAGGGGCAGGCGGCAGGCAGGGGGCGTGACCCTGGGCCCCTCCCCTGGCCATGGGCCTCCAGCGCTGCTCCCTCCTCCATCACAGGGATCCTTCCCCCTTCCAGAGCTCGGCCTCGGGAGAGGGCCCTGGGGGAACGGGTGTGGGGGAGGGGAGAGGGAGCCTGAAGAGGAGGCCCTGGTCCTGGCCTTGCAGCCGCCGAGCCCCACGCCCTGGACAGAGCGCTCTGCCCCAGCGCAGCCACAGCGGTGCCGGAGCCCCACCCTGAGGGCTGCAGCCCCTGGTCCTGGCCCCACAATGCCCACTCCACAGGAGGCCCCAGTGTTAGCTGTGAGCACGCCTCGGCAAAGGGCCGCCTGCCCCAGGGTCTGCGGGCCAAGAGGCTGTGACCAGTCAGGGGTGCACCCACGGCAGGTGTCTGCCGGTGAGAACCCGCTTTACCAGGACAGAATGTGGGTGACGGGCAGGCACGGCTTCCCGGGCATGGTGCAAGGGCAGGAGTGTGGCGAGAGGGTGCTCAGGTGGCCCCGGGCTCCTCTGCACCCCCACCTGGGACCCGGCACCCACAAAGGCTCAAGGCGGAAGCCACCCCACAGCTTCCACACCCAGGCTCGGGCATCTCCTGCCTCGACGGAGCCCAGAAACAGACACCTCTGGATGTCCACCATCACACAGGACCGGGGGTAGGCCGAGAGGAAACCCCCAGAAGCAGCCCCAACACCAAGTGCCCAGAGGTCAAGGGGCAGGGGTGTCCAACAAAGAGCCCCCAGGTATGAACAGAGCCCATAGGAGGACGGCAGCCCAGGCACCAGTCCCAGCTCCCTGGACACTGCTGTCACACGGGGCAGGGCCCAACAGCCCAGCCTGGCCACTCGGGAAGTCCTAGAGGAAATGTGGAGGCCGCAGGCCCAGCCAGCGCCGCCCACCCCGACCTACCGATGGCCACCAAGTCACTGCAGTCCTTCTTGTGGAACTCGGCCCAGGCCTTGGTCTTACAGTGCTTGCTGCACGTCAGGATCCCGTAGCAGCGCGTGCAGGGCGAGAGGCGGACCCCGATGGAGCGGCCACAGTGGTAGCAGAACTTGAAGAAGGGGACGCTGCAAGGCAGGGGCCGGGCTCAGTGAACCTGCGCCCCACCAGGAGCTGCCTGGGACCCGTGTCCCGAGCAGCGCCACACAGAACGCACTGTTCTGCTCACTGCTGTGGTCCTGTGCCACAGCTAGCAAACCACACTGGTCATACAGCAGGACACAGGACACAGGTCCAACTCAGCCAAGCACACACAGCTCTGGGAGCCCTGCAGGTGGCGCTGTGCACACACAGCTCCGAGAGCCCTGCAGGTGGGGCTGTGCACACACAGCTCCGAGAGCCCTGCAGGTGGCGCTGTGCACACACAGCTCCGAGAGCCCTGCAGGTGGCGCTGTGCACACACAGCTCCGAGAGCCCTGCAGGTGGCGCTGTGCACACACAGCTCTGACAGCCCTGCAGGTGGCGCTGTGCACACACAGCTCTGGGAGCTCTGCAGGTGGGGCTGTGCACACACAGCTCTGACAGCCCTGCAGGTGGGGCTGTGCACACACAGCTGCGTAGTCACTCGCTCAGGGCCTATTAAGGAAAGGAGCAGAGAACGCTCTGCAGAACCAGGGAACCAGGTTTTCACGTCGTATCAGCGTGATCAGGGCTGCCTGGGCAGGGCCCAGCACTGCAGGGTCAGACGGAGGGAAGCTGTCCTGTGTGGGCGTGGGAGTGGGGGGCCCCAGGCCCCGGGCCCCGGGCAGCACTTGCCTCTCCGGCTCTTCCATGCTCAGCGTCCTGGGCAGGCTGGAGTTCCTCTTCCTCAGCCTGTGGCTCGAGATCAGCTCCGCTGCAACAGACCCACGTCAGCAACGGGGTAGGGCCAGCACAGTGGACGCCACCTCCCTGCGCACTGCGGGAAGGCAGGCACCGCAGCAGGAGCATGGAGGCAGAGTGGGGTGGGCCCAGGCTCCCGGGAGGGGGCTCAGCCCTCAGGCTCCCCCCACACCCCCACCCACGCCCTCTTATCTGCAGCCTCCCGGTCAACCTGCACTGGCCATCCACACCTCACCCCTGCAGGGTCCCCCTGGCCACCACACTAGCTACTCTCAGCCTTGCCCAGCTCACAGCCCCTCTGCAGAGGGGACACGCCTGGCCTGCTCTCTGGCAGCTGGCGGCAGGGGCACAGTAGCCAAGAACCCCCGAGCAGTAACTTCCACAGGACCACACAGGGCGCCACCACGGGCCTCAGCTCCCTGTCCTTGAACACCATGTCAGCCACCACGAGAAAGCTGGTCCCACAGGCCTGCTGCCCCTTACGTCAGGAGCCTCAGAGACAGCAGCCGGCCCGGAGTGAGACGGTGGGCGCCCCTTGCTCCTCGCCCAACCCTCCCTGCCCGCCCAGCGCCCAAGGCCACTCCCCTCGCTGCTGTGCGACAGTGCAGCCACAGGACAGGGGAGTGCTTCTAGCCTGGTCTGTGACAGCGTCGGCTGTCAGTCACTTCTCCAAAATCCAGGTGTGTGACAACGGAGAGAGGGACTTCCGTGTGCCACAGAGGCGGGACTGTTATCAAAACTCCACTTTACGGGGAGATCACTCAAAGCCCCCGTGTCAATGAACAATGCTACGGCCCCCTGGGGCCAGCACCAGCACCACCAGCTGGGGAACACGGCCAGCACCCAGAACACCACCTGGCTCCCGGCCCCCGGCCCTGAGCAACCACGGTGTCCCTCTGCCTCCACAGCACCCCTGCTGTCCCGCGCCTTTCCTATCAACAGAATCACAAGACGCAGGGGCTCCTACCGCTGGCTCCTCCCACCAGCGCTGATGCCGAGGCTCGCCCGCTTGGCAAGCGAGGGCCCGTGCCCCCCCCTGCGGCTGAGCGACATGGCAACCCACGAGGGACCCCAGGTCCTTCGTTCACCGGTTGCTGGGCACGTATCACTTTCCACTTGTGATTCTGCATGGATGGTGTCTTCGTCACTGTGGCTAACGGCAGGCAGAGGAGGGAATGGCTGGGCCACAGACTGGCTCCATGCTTAACGCCCCGAGGCGCAGCCGGGCCACCCCCCAAAGCGTTACAGCCTTTTCCACGGTCACCAGCTGCGACTTCCCCACAGCCTCAGCCACACTGAGCGCTGCGACTTCCTGACACTTGTGAGTGCTGTCTGACTATAAAAAAACCCTCAGCTGGGCAGGGGCTGGTCTGTGACGGCCTTGAAGGCAGTGTTTGCGGAGCAAGGCAGGAAGCACGTGTGTGTGTGTGCATATGTGTGTATGGTGTGTGTGTGCATATGTGTGTATGTGTGTGTAGGTTGTTATGTGGGGGGGTGCTTATGTGTGTGGGGTGTGGGGGGATTGGTGTGTGTGTTCATGTGTGTGTGCATATGTGTGTGGGGTGCATGTGTGTGCATATGTGTGTGGGGTGCATGTGTGTGTGTAGGTTGTGTGTATGTGGGGGGTGCTTATGTGTATGGTCTGTGTGTGTGCATGTGTGTGGTATGTGTGTGTAGGTTGTGTGTATTTAGGGGTGCTTATGGGTGTGGGGTGTGTGTGGGGATGGGTGGGTGGGGGGTGTGTGTGCATATGTGTGTGTATGTGTGTGTAGGTTGTGTGTACGTGGGGGGTGCTTATGGGTGTGGGGTGTGTGTGTGGGGATGGGTGTGTGTGTGTGTGCATATGTGTGTGGGGTGTGTGTGTAAGTTGTGTGTATGTGGAGGGTGCTTTTGTGTGGGGGGTGTGTGGGGGGATGGGTGGGTGGGTGTGTGTGCATATGTGTGTGTGCATATGTGTGTGTACGTGTGTGGGTATGGGCGATATATAGTGTGTGTGGTGTATGTGTGTGCATATGTGTGTGTGTGGCAGTGGGTGTGTCTATGTGTGGTGTGTATGTGTGTGGGTGCATATGTGTGTGGTGTGTATGTCAGTGTGTCTGTCTATGTGTGAGTGTGGGGTGGTAGGTGTCCCTATATGTGAGTGCGTGTGTGGCGGTAGGTGTGTCTGTGTGAGTGCGTGTGTGGTGGTAGGTGTGTCTGTGTGAGTGTGTGTGCGAGTGTGTGTGTGTCTCTTCTGAGTGCAAGGCCCCGGCTCCAAGCCCCACATTCAGACTGAGCGCCTGACAGTGGGGCCAGACCCCACCCGGGGCGAGGTGATGCCTCAGTGCAGTCTGTGCAGCTCCAGTAACTCAGTATTGAGCATCGTTGCTTGTTTTGTTGGCCATCAGTGTCTTTTTTGAAGAAATTTCTACTCACACTCATATGCACGGCCATTTTTTGCACCAAAATGAGCGTATCTTTTAATTGCACTTCGCACGAGCTGCGTGAAGTCCCTGCCACCCCCTGTCCATCCTGAGGCCTGGTTATTTGCCTTCGCCTCGGGGTCACACAGGTCTCTGCGAGGAACATGGCTGGCACAGGCCCTCTCTCTTCACGGGGGCTATGTGAACTGTGCTTGCAGTTTCTCCACAGCGGCCTCTAAAATACTAAAGGCTTTCATTTTGATCATGCGTGCAGTCCAGGCTTTCAGTATCAAACCCAGGAACCCGGCCAAGTCCAGGGTCAAGAGCTCTCCCTCCAACGCCCCCACACTTAGGTCTCTGATCCAAGGTCAGCCATCTGTGGTAGGGGGCGAGGAGGAGGGTGGCTGGCGTCACTCTTCTGCCTGTGGATGCCTGTTGCTGTGGATTCATTCTGAGAGGAACAGCATGGTGGGGCAAGAGGCGTGGAGTCACCACACAGACCCCGGGAGTTGGGTGAAAGCAGGCCAGAGGCAAGCAGCCCACAGACTCATTTATTTCAGTTGGTGCAGCAGCTTATATAGCCAAGGCAGCCAATCCAGTCAAGGGGCGGTCTATGCCCTAACCAATCACACCTTGTTGCCAGGCAGTATCCGAAGCCATCCAATCACAGCCTATTGCCAGGCAGGCTCCATTGTCAGCGGCCATCTTGGCATGGCCTTCTCATTCCACCACAAACGCCCAGTTGCCCCAGCACATGTCCCGTCTTCATCCCACTGTGTGACGTCAAGGCCCTCACTGAAAACCAGCCAAGCACGGAAATGTGTGCTTACTTGGGGGCCCTCCGTTCCACTCGGCTGCTCTGCTCTGTGTGGCACCGACTTCGTCTGAAACTGGAGAAGGGGACTCCAACGTTGTTCTTCCGGCCCGAGGTTGCTGCTGCCATCACGGCGCCTGCAGCCCCACGTGAACGGGAGAGAACTTGACAGCTGAGATCCTGGAGGAGCTGTGCTGAGCCTGCTCTTGTCTGGGAGCAGTTCCCTTGTTACCAACAGTAAGTTTTCAATCCATGATCACGGGCTGCCTTTCCATCTATTTAGATCGTCTTTAATATTATTCAACAATGTTTTGTAGCATTTGAAGTATATGTACTAGAAGAATCGATATCATCACAATGTCCAGCTACCACAAACAATTTACAGATTTGATGCTATCCTAATCAAAATACCAACAAAATGCTTCTCATATCTAGAAAAAATGATGCTAAAATTCATAATGAAACACAAGAGACCCCAAATAGCTAAAGCAACCTTAAACAACAAAAACAAAGCCGGAGGCTTCACAATACCAGATTTCAGACCTCCTACAGGGCAGTTATCATCAAATCAGCCCGGTACTGGCTCAAAAACAGATGTGCAGACCAATGGAACAGAATAGAAACCCCAGAATGTCGGCTGGCGCCGTGGCTCACTAGGCTAATCCTCCGCCTATGGTACCGGCACCCTGGATTCTAGTCCTGGTTGGGGCACCAGTTCTGTCCCAGTTGTTCCTCTTCCAGTCCAGCTCTCTGCTGTGGCCCAGGAAGGCAGTAGAGGGTGGCCCAGGTGCTTGGGCCCTGCACCCACATGGGAACCAGGAGGAAGCACCTGGCTCCTGGCTTCAGATCAGCGCAGCACGCCAGCCGTAGCGGTCATTTGGGGGGTGAACCAATGGAAGGAAGACCTTTCTCTCTCTCTTTCTCTCTCTCTCACTGTCTAACTCTGCCTGTCAAAAAAAAAAAAGAAACCCAGAAGTCAATCCACACATCTACAACCAACTTATGTTTGACAAAGGAGCTAAAACCAACCCCTGGAGGGAGGACAGTCTCTTCAACAAACAGTGCTGGGAGAACTGGATTCCACGTGCAGGAATATAGAACAGGACCCACCCTACACCTTACACAAAACCCACTCAACACGGATCAAAGACCTAAATCTACTCCCCTATACCATCAAATTACTAGGGATCATGGGGGACGCTCTGCAAGACACTGGCACAGGCAAAGCCTTCGTGGAGAAGCCCCCAGAGGCACAGGCAGCTAAAGCCAACACGGACAAATGGGATTACATCAGGCTGAGAAGCTCCTGCATTGCAAAAGAAGCACTCAGCAAAGCGAAGAGGCAACCGACAGAATGGGAGAAAATATTTGCAAAGTGTGCAGCTGATAAAGGGTTAATATCCAGAATCTACAAAGGGATCAAGAAACTCAACGACAAAACAAACAACCCACTTAAGAGATGGGCCAAGGACCTAAACAGACATTTTCAACAGAGGAAATCCAAACAGGCAACAAACACATGAAAAAAATTTTTATGATCACTAGCTGTCAGGGAAATGCAAATCAAAACCACAATGAGGTTTCGCCTCACCCACATAAAATCACCCACATACAGAAATCAACTAACAACAGATGCTGGCGAGGATGTGGGGAGAAAGGGACACTAACCACTGTTGGTGGGAATGCAAACTGGTGCAGCCACCGTGGAGGACAGGATGCGGACTCCTCAGAGGAGAGTCCTCCTGAGTATAGACCTGCCACGTGACCCAGCCATCCCCTTCCTGGGAATTTACCCAAGGGAGAGGAAATCAGCATCGGAAAGAGCCAGCTGCACCCCACGTCCGCTGCAGCTCAATGCACAATTGCTGGGTCCGTCCTCGGCCCACCCACCTCTCTGCTCAGGCACAGCGCCCTGGTGTCCCGCCGGCCCGCCCACCTCTGCTCAGGCACAGCACCCTGGTGTCCCTCCAGCCGCCCACCTCTCTGCTCAGGCACAGCACCCTGGTGTCCCTCCAGCCGCCCACCTCTCTGCTCAGGAACAGCACCCTGGTGTCCCGCCAGCCGCCCACCTCTCTGCTCAGGCACAGCGCCCTGGTGTCCCGCCGGCCCGCCCACCTCTGCTCAGGCACAGCACCCTGGTGTCCCTCCAGCCGCCCACCTCTCTGCTCAGGCACAGCACCCTGGTGTCCCTCCAGCCGCCCACCTCTCTGCTCAGGAACAGCACCCTGGTGTCCCGCCAGCCGCCCACCTCTCTGCTCCAGTACAGCACCCTGGTGTCCCTCCGGCCGCCCACCTCTCTGCTCAGGCACAGCGCCCTGGTGTCCCGCCGGCCCGCCCAACTCTCTGCTCCAGTACAGCGTCCTGGCGTCCTGCCAGCTGCCCACCTCTCTTGCTCAGGCACAGAGCCCTGGCGTCCCGCTGGCCGCCCACCTCTCTTGCTCAGGCACAGCGCCCTGGTGTCCCGCCGGCCCACCCACCTCTCTTGCTCAGGCACAGCGCCCTGGCATCCCACTGGCTCTCCTTGGCGAGGACGGCCAGGCGCAGCTGGGTGCCCATGTGTTCCAGCAACCTCTTCCGGGCCAGCAGCGTCTCTCGCTCCGCGGGCATCAGCGCGTGGTAGGGGCAGTGTGCGATCTTCCGGTCCTGTGGCCAGCCGGAGGGTCACCCGCCCCGCCTGATCCGGCCCTGCCACTGTGGCAGTGACTGGGATGCTGGGCACCCCCCCCAACCTCAGGGCTGTCCTGGAGGTGGATGGAGGCAGGTACAGCCACACCCAGCATGGGACAGGGCCCTGCTACGACAGGGCGGGGCCTTAGGGGGCACTAGGCCCCCACCAGGGTCCTGCTTGGGACAGCAACACACTCAAGGCAATACCTGGAAGAACTTGAAGTAGCCGTAGTCCACAGCTGTGCCCACAGCCACTTTGTCCCCCTGTGTGAGCGTCACCGGCTTCAGGATGTCAGCCCCATGGCGAATGAGCTCGTCCACCTGTGTAGGAAGAGGCACATGGGAGGCACAAGGACACACCCCCCAGCAGGGGGCACAGGGGCCTCCTGGGCTCTGTCCTCAACACAGGCCTGTGGACACAGCGGCCTGAGGACACCACCTGTGGGAGGGCAGGTGCTGCCCGGACACTGCCGTCACCCGCACTCACTCCCTGAGATGCCAATCACAGACACAGGGTGGGGCAGCCAGGGGCAAGAAGGTGCCGCTGAGCTGCGTGGTGACGTCAAGGCTCCCCACTGGCACCACACAATGGAGAGGGACAGATTAGATGTCTTGGAAAGGAACAGACAAAACGCCACTATCCTCTGCCATCTAGAAACTTCCAGGGGGCAGCAGGGAAACTCTCATGCCACCCAGAGTTCCCAGTGGTAGCCAGCAGGCCACGGGCTCCGGCGGGGGCAGCTTGGGAGACGCAGTGGTGGTGCACAGAGACAACCTTGTGCACTCACGTCTATAACTGGCCCTGCTCTGTGTGATGAGAGGTTCTAGCCACGGCCCTCCGTGGTGGAATGAGGAGGTGACAAGGTCATGCCAAGATGGCCGCTGAAAACAGAAACTGCCTAGCAACAGAGCCTGACTGGCAACAGGCTGTGATTGGATGGCGTTGGAAACTGCCTGGCAACAGGCTGTGATTGGTTGGGGCGTAGACTGCCCCTTGACCGGATTGGCTGCCTTGGCTTTATAAGCAGCTGCACCAACTGAAATAAACGAGTCTGTGGGCTGCTCGCCTCAGGCCTGCTTTCACCCGACTCCCGGGGTCTGTGTGGTGACTCTGCGCCTCTTGCCCCCACCACGCTCCTCCTCTCAGAACGAATCCTCTCAGAAGAAATCAACTGCAACAGCCCTGGCACACTCACGCCTATCACTGGCCCTGCCTGTGCTGTGTGTGGTGAGAGGTTCCAGCCGCGGTGATGATTGGCTGTGAGGTCAGCCCACACTTCTGGAATGGCAGGCGGGTCTCCTGCCTTGGTGCACAACGTTCCAGAGCTGGATGGAAGGCCTTCAGCCCGGCCTCTCAGGCAACCACTGAGGCTGGGGACTGCCTGTGAGGGCTGCCCTGTGCTGGGCAGGGAGAGCCCAGGCGTGTTCTACGTGGCCGGGCAGGAGCCCCACGCCTGTGCCCCGAGGCCACCAGCAGTGTTCACGGCCCCTCTGGGGCTCCGACAAAAACTTCCACAGGTGCTGAGTTCCACAGACCCCACCGAAGGGCTGGATTCTGCCACTGCCCATGGCAGGGGTGGCAGGGGGTGAACCAGCAAGACCAAGTGCTCAGGGCAGGGTCTGAGGGCCTGCAGGTGGACGGCCAGCAGGAAACCCAGGCTGGGCTGGTGGCTGCAATGAGACTTGGGAGGGCTGGGGAGCTGTGCTGTAACCAAGCAGGGCAGACAGCACCACTTCAAAATGTCTGTGAAACCTGAATTAGAGCCCAAGTCGATCTGAGCAAGACGGGGAGCTTCCTAAGGCTGCTCTGCAAGTAGAGGGGGCCCTGCCCTGGGACACGCGAGTCCCAGCTGCGCCTGCCCTGGGACACACGAGTCCCAGCTGCGCCTGCCCTGGGACACGCGAGTCCCAGCTGCGCCTGCCCTGGGACACACGAGTCCCAGCTGCGCCTGCCCTGGGACACGCGAGTCCCAGCTGCGCCTGCCCTGGGACACACGAGTCCCAGCTGCGCCTGCCCTGGGACACGCGAGTCCCAGCTGTGCCTGCCCTGGGACACGCGAGTCCCAGCTGTGCCTGCCCTGGGACACGCGAGTCCCAGCTGCGCCTGCCCTGGGACACGCGAGTCCCAGCTGCGCCTGCCCTGGGACACGCGAGTCCCAGCTGTGCCTGCCCTGGGACACGCGAGTCCCAGCTGCGCCTGCCCTGGGACACACGAGTCCCAGCTGCGCCTGCCCTGGGACACGCGAGTCCCAGCTGCGCCTGCCCTGGGACACGCGAGTCCCAGCTGTGCCTGCCCTGGGACACGCGAGTCCCAGCTGCGCCTGCCCTGGGACACGCGAGTCCCAGCTGCGCCTGCCCTGGGACACGCGAGTCCCAGCTGCGCCTGCCCTGGGACACGCGAGTCCCAGCTGCGCCTGCCCTGGACACGCGAGTCCCAGCTGCGCCTGCCCTGGGACACGCGAGTCCCAGCTGCGCCTGCCCTGGGACACGCGAGTCCCAGCTGCGCCTGCCCTGGGACACGCGAGTCCCAGCTGTGCCTGCCCTGGGACACGCGAGTCCCAGCTGTACCTGCCCTGGGACACGCGAGTCCCAGCTGTGCCTGCCCTGGGACACACGAGTCCCAGCTGTGCCTGCCCTGGGACACGCGAGTCCCAGCTGTACCTGCCCTGGGACACGCGAGTCCCAGCTGTGCCTGCCCTGGGACACGCGAGTCCCAGCTGTGCCTGCCCTGGGACACGCGAGTCCCAGCTGTGCCTGCCCTGGGACACGCGAGTCCCAGCTGTGCCTGCCCTGGGACACGCGAGTCCCAGCTGTGCCTGCCCTGGGACACGCGAGTCCCAGCTGTACCTGCCCTGGGACACACGAGTCCCAGCTGCGCCTGCCCTGGGACACGCGAGTCCCAGCTGCGCCTGCCCTGGGACACACGAGTCCCAGCTGTGCCTGCCCTGGGACACGCGAGTCCCAGCTGTACCTGCCCTGGGACACACGAGTCCCAGCTGCGCCTGCCCTGGGACACGCGAGTCCCAGCTGCGCCTGCCTGGGAACGCGAGAGTCCAGCTGCGCTGCCCTGGGACAGCGAGTCCCAGCTGCTGCCCTGGGACACGCGAGTCCAGCTGCGCCTGCTGGGACACGCGAGTCCCAGCTGCGCCGCCCTGGGACACGCGAGTCCCAGCTGCGCCTGCCCTGGGACACGCGAGTCCCAGCTGCGCCTGCCCTGGGACACGCGAGTCCCAGCTGCGCCTGCCCTGGGACACGCGAGTCCAGCTGCGCCTGCCCTGGGACACGCGAGTCCAGCTGCGCCTGCCCTGGGACACGCGAGTCCCAGCTGCGCCTGCCCTGGGACACGCGAGTCCCAGCTGCGCCTGCCCTGGGACACGCGAGTCCCAGCTGCGCCTGCCCTGGGACACGCGAGTCCCAGCTGCGCCTGCCCTGGGACACGCGAGTCCCAGCTGCGCCTGCCCTGGGACAGCGAGTCCCAGCTGCGCCTGCCCTGGGACACGCGAGTCCCAGCTGCGCCTGCCCTGGGACACGCGAGTCCCAGCTGCACCTGCCCTGGGACACGTGAGTCCCAGCTGCGCCTGCCCTGGGACACGCGAGTCCCAGCTGCGCCTGCCCTGGGACACGCGAGTCCCAGCTGCGCCTGCCCTGGGACACACGAGTCCCAGCTGCGCCTGCCCTGGGACACGCGAGTCCCAGCTGCGCCTGCCCTGGGACACGCGAGTCCCAGCTGTGCCTGCCCTGGGACACGCGAGTCCCAGCTGCGCCTGCCCTGGGACACGCGAGTCCCAGCTGCGCCTGCCCTGGGACACGCGAGTCCCAGCTGCGCCTGCCCTGGGACACGCGAGTCCCAGCTGCGCCTGCCCTGGGACACGCGAGTCCCAGCTGCGCCTGCCCTGGGACACGCGAGTCCCAGCTGTACCTGCCCTGGGACACGCGAGTCCCAGCTGCGCCTGCCCTGGGACACGCGAGTCCCAGCTGCACCTGCCCTGGGACACGCGAGTCCCAGCTGTGCCTGCCCTGGGACACGCGAGTCCCAGCTGCGCCTGTCCTGGGACACGCGAGTCCCAGCTGCGCCTGCCCTGGGACACGTGAGCCCCGGCTGTGCCTGCCCTGGGACACGCGAGTCCCAGCTGCGCCTGCCCTGGGACACGTGAGCCCCGGCTGTGCCTGCCCTGGGACACGCGAGTCCCAGCTGCGCCTGCCCTGGGACACGTGAGCCCCGGCTGTGCCTGCCCTGGGACACGCATGCCCGGGTGGTGGGCGAGCTCCCAGCCAAAGCGTGAGATGGGGTGAGGGTGGAGTGAGACGGGTCAGGTCAGAGGTCGGGCACTGGGGATGCTGGAGGAGGGGCATGGACTTCTTGCACTGCTCTCTCAACTCCTCTGTGAATTTCTATTCTTATTTGTTTATTTATGGCCAAGGAAGGCAGCTGACGGGACAGAAGGACAAAGGGCCCTCCCCGTCCCGGTATCTGCTGGACGCGCTCAGCGTGTTGGGGTCAGGCGGTCCTCTCAGGCACCGGGCTCACCCCACGGACCCGGCAGCATCTCCGTGCCAGCCCTGCCAACAGGGAGCCCGATGCCGAGCTGCCGCGCCTGCGGGCCTGGCCCTCGCTCACGCCCGGTCTTGCCGAGACGAACTTCCTTCCCGGGCCTCCTGACTGGTTTCGCCACATCACACTTCTTTAAGGCCCACAAAACATTAAACAAGACAACGTTTATCTTTTCTCCACGATTTAGACCTTGGGGCTTGGAGAGCCCAGAGCAAGCTGACACAAATGGCTTCCACTGCCGGAAACAGGAGTCCAAGGACCAGCCCCCACCCCAGACACCCCTTCTTCCTCAGGCCTGGGCTGCTCCCGGCTCACCAGGGCCCCCACCCCAGACACCCCTTCTTCCTCAGGCCTGGGCTGCTCCCGGCTCACCAGGGCCCCCCCACACCCAGGCCCACCTGCCCCTCACCAGGCCCCACCACCACCCAGGCCCACCTGCCCCTCACCAGGGCCCCCCACACCCAGGCCCACCTGCCCCTCACCAGGCCCCCCCACACCCAGGCCCACCTGCCCCTTACCAGGGCCCCCCACACCCAGGCCCACATGCCCCTCACCAGGGCCCCCCCACACACCCAGGCCCACCTGCCCCCCTTTGCCCCCCCACACACACCCAGGCCCACCTGCCCCTCACCAGGGCCCCCCCACACCCAGGCCCACCTGCCCCTCACCAGGGCCCCCACACACCCCACCAGGGCCCGCCTGCTCCCCCCAGAGCCCTCCTGCCCCTCACCAGGCCCCCTCCCCCCAGGCCCCCTCCCCCCTGAGCCCGCCCCTCACCAGGCCCCCTCCCCCTGAGCCTGCCCCTCACCAGGGCCAGCCTGCTGCTGGTACTCCTCAGCTGCTCGTGGGCGATGTCGCAGACCACGCACAGGGCGCTCCCCAGGCCTCTGCTCAGGGGCAGGTTGGGGTCAACCCCGCGGGACAGGAGCTCCCTCACGATCTGGACACAGACAGCCTGGTCAGCGGCCTCCGCATCGCCTCCCGAGCCCGAGCTGCGGACAGCTGTCCCCCGGGGCCACCGCCGGCTCCAAGCTACAGGCACTGCCGCCCGGTCTGCCGAGGGCCTCAGCCGGGGGCTGGCTCCCCAGGGCCCCTCCAGGCCCAGCCCTGGTGCAGTGAACCCCGCCCATGTGAGGAGTCCTCGGAGGGCCCGCGCCGTGTCCCCAACGCCACCAGCCGCCGCAGGCCTCCGCTGGGACGCCTCCGGCCCAGCCGTCCCCACCCCACCCTGCCACGCTCACCAGGTCATTCCCACTGGCGATGGACAGCGACAGTGGGGAGTGCCCACTCCACAGCGTGTTAGGGTTCGCCCTGTGGGACAGAAGGAGCCGGACTACTTCCGTGGCACACTGGGCGGGGCAGAGGCAAGAGCACAGCACGTCAGAGGCGCACCCCAGCCCGGGGCACCCGCGGTGAGCAGAGACCGCACGCCACAAGGCAGCGCGCGCACTCACGTGCCTCCACGCCACACCCGGCCTGGCGCTCAGAAGGCGCTCTCAACAGCGGGCGGGTGGGCGGGTGGACAGGCAGGTGAGCAGACGGATGGCTGGGTGGACAGGCAGGTGAGCAGACGGATGGCTGGGTGGGCGGACAGATGGACGGGTGGACAGGCAGGTGAGCAGACAGATGGGTGGGTGGACAGGCAGGTGAGCAGACAGATGGGTGGGTAGGTGGGTGGACAGGTGAGCAGACGGATGGCTGGGTGGGTGGACAGGTGAGCAGACGGATGGGTGGGTGGACAGGTGGACGGGTGGACAGGCAGGTGAGCGGACGGATGGGTGGGTGGGCGGACAGGTGAGCGGACGGATGGGTGGGTGGGTAGACAGATGGACGGGTGGACAGGCAGGTGAGTGGATGGATGAGTGGGTGGGTGGATGGGTGGAGACGGACAGTTGGGTGGGAGGGTGGACGGGTGGGTGGACGGGTGTTTCCCTAACATCCTGGTTTCCAGGTGGAGATCAGGAGGCCGTGGTTGCTTGGTTGACTTAAAGCTGGTGACGGACAGGGAGCGGTGAAGCCAGCTGATGTCACAGCAGGGCCAGGGGAGGTGCCCCCCAGGAGCCGGGACCCGGGAGGAGCCCATCTCTGGCTGGCAGGCCTCACGCACTGCCAGGTGCCTGTGCTGGGCCCCTCTGCCCCTGCGCCGCCCAGGGCCGCAGCAGGCTCGCTCCTGCTCACCACACACCCATTCCCCTCTCGACGTCCTCCATTCAGTGTCCACAGGCAGCGGCCCCGAGCTCCGCCTTCCCCAGGGCAAGGACCCTCCTCAATCTGACATGGCACTGACCACTCTGCTGGGACTGCTCCCGTCTGGAGTGGTGGACCCCAGGGGCCTCCCAGCCGACCTGCAAGGCCACTGCCAATGAGTCACCAGCAGATGACTGCTGACGGTGTCCTGGGACAGCGTCCCTTCCTTCTTCCTCTCCCAACCAGAAGGCAGACGTGATGGCTGGACTGCTGCAGCCTTCATGTCCTCAACACAGCCATCTGCCCTTGACTGCTGCTGTCACGCTGAATGCCTCCACACTATTACCCCTTAACTTCCGGGTCAGAACTCAGTACGAGCACACGTGTGCGAGTGCCCAGGCCAGGTCCTCACTGGCTGGGGGCCGTCACCAGCCTGCTCCCAGGAAGCCTCACTCCCGAGTCCTAGCGTGGATTCTTGGAGGCTCTGCTCAGAGCCCTGCACGGGCAGTGGACTCAGCCCAAGGCACACCCACCCCCCGCCCCCACCCACAGAGGAAGCACTGGCCAGTGGGCCTGTCCCTCCCACGCCCAGAGTGGCCCACGCATCCACTCGCACACACGACACTCCCTCACCCACAGCCCCACGCCTGCACGTGGCAACCAAACTGCCTGCCTCAGGCCCAGAGGTCGGCCCTTAGCTCCTTCCACGGGGGTGAACAGCCTCGGCGTCTGTGTGCTCCCTGGCGAACCAGCCTGGGCCGCCCTGGCCACCGCACGGCAGGCCCGGCACTTGGCTTCCACCCGCCCCACCCCCACCGGGGTCACCCCTGAGTGGCGTCCACCCCACCTGCCAAGCACCTGCCCCGCCTGACAGCGGATACGGCTCAGAGGGGACGGCCCCCGGGGCCCGTGGCAGAGGCAGGCTGGGGTGACACAGGGGGTCTGCAGCAGGAGACAGAGCCCAAGCCGGCTGCTCCCAAAGTCCCACAGAAAGAAACTGCCCAGGGCCACACTCAGTACACACGGCACAGTGTACTAACAGTGACACCCATTGCACACATCACCCGTGTGCACACACACGCCAGCACCATGCATGTGTACTAACAGACACCCATGTGCACACACCACCCGTGTGCACACACACGCCAGCACCATGCATGTGTAACAGACACCCATTGCACACATCACCCGTGTGCACACACACGCCAGCATCATGCATGTGTAACAGACACCCATGTGCACACACCACCCGTGTGCACACACACGCCAGCATCATGCATGTGTAACAGACACCTGTGTGCACACACATGCCAGCATCATGCATGTGTAACAGACACCCATGTGCACACACACGCCAGCATCATGCATGTGTAACAGACACCCATGTGCACACACCACCCGTGTGCACACACACGCCAGCATCACACATGTGTACTAACAGTGACACCCGTGTGCACACACACGCCAGCATCACACATGTGTACTAACAGTGACACCCGTGTGCACACACACGCCAGCATCATGTATGTGTAACAGACACCTGTGTGCACACACACGCCAGCATCATGCATGTGTAACAGACACCCATGTGCACACACCACCCGTGTGCACACACACGCCAGCATCACACATGTGTACTAACAGTGACACCCGTGTGCACACACACGCCAGCATCATGCATGTGTAACAGATACCCGTGTGCACACACCACCCGTGTGCACACACACGCCAGCACCACGCATGTATACTAACAGACACCCGTGTGCACACACCACCCGTGTGCACAGCAAAGGCCCTCACACATGCAAACAGCTCGCTGCTTCCCGCCGGGGCCCCGTCCCTCTGTCTCGGGCAGGGCCGGGAAGCAGCCCCGCCCACACTGACCTGGTCATTGTCCTGGCGCTCACAGGCCACGTGCAGCGCCGTCCTGCCCCCCTCCTCCGGGACGCTCGTGTGCGGGCTGTAGTAGGTGCTGGGCGGTCCGGGCTCGTTGCTCAGCTTCAGGCTTGAGGACTGCAGGTCCATCTGTGGGCAGACGGAGCCACGCTGTGGCCCAAGCACCCCCAGGTGCCACGTGGCCACGGCCAGGCCACGGCAGCAGAGCCCCTCAGAGCCAGGCCTGCCCTGTGACAGCAGCTGACGCCACCCCACCCCTGGGGCCCGGGCCAGAGGCAGTGGGGGCGGGGGTCCTGCCCAGGCCACAGGCCACAGGCCACAGCCACAGACCACGCCCGCCTGCAGAGGAGGGACTGGGCCCTCACGGAGCATGTGAGGTGCCAACAGCCCACGGCTGGAGACCTCTCAGAGCCCACAAGGGCAGGCAGCCCTGCAGGGAGGGGGCTGTGGGTCCGGCCCTGCTGTGGAAAAGGCAGCGGCAGAGCGTGAACGGGGGACACAGCCCCAGCTGCCACCAACACCCTCACAGTCGCATGCCTCGTCGGGCCCCCCTCTGGCTTCCCAGAACCTGCTGCAGCAGCTCCCAGAATGGGCCTGCCTGCAGCCGGGGCGGGGGTCCACCTGGCCCAGCCACAGCCCGGGAGCACTGGGGACCCGGACTCCCTGGTCCCTGGGTCCTGGGGCCCTGGGCAGTGCCAGCCGTGCTGTCCACGTGGACACAATGCCCACTGATGCAAGGAGCCAGGCCTGGCCACGGCCTCTCCCTGCAGAGTGGAGCCCAGAGCCCTCAGGGGCCTGGCTTCTCAGAGAGCAGCAGGCAAGAGGCCAGGGGGCAACGAGGGGCCACAGGAGGCCCGACTGCCGCGGGGACGGGACAGCAGCAGGGCCAGAGCAGGGCCCTGACCCAGCGAGACCGCCAGGCTCCTGCTTGAGGAGGCCGGGCCGGGGACACAGTGGAACGGTCTCTGCCTCCGGACGTGGGGGCTCACGGGCCCCCTCTTCCTAGCACACCCCCCGCGCCGCGCTGAGCCACGTCAGCACACAGCTGCTTAGCTCACCACGCCAGTCAATCATTCCTGCTGGTTGGCGTGGAAACAAGCCGAGCTCGCCACGCTGCTGGCTTTTTGGGAGCCAGTGCCGCCCGTCTCCACCCGTGGCTCTGAGAGGGAGGCCCTGCGGGGGTGCCCGCCGCAGGGCGGCCACACACCTTGTTGGGCTTGTACACGTGGTCCTGGTCGGCCGCCTGGGCGTCCACGTCGGTGATGGAGTGCAGCAGGAGCTCGGTGATCTTGACGCCCTCCTCGCCGGGAAGGGCGGCGGCGATGTGGAGCGGGGTCAGGGCCCCCAGCTGCCGAGCAGGCGCGGTGGGTGAGGGCCGTAGCCCACACTGGGGCCTGGCCTGGCCCCCAGCCCACACCAGGGGCCTCGCTGCCCGGCCTGGCCCCCAGCCCACACCGGGGCCTCCCTGCCCGGTCCCACACCAGGGGTCTCCCTGCCCGGCCTGGCCCCCAGCCCACACTGGGGGCCTTGCTGCCCGGCCTGGCCCCCAGCCCACACCGGGGCCTCCCTGCCCGGTCCCACACCAGAGGTCTCCCTGCCCGGCCTGGCCCCCAGCCCACACTGGGGGCCTTGCTGCCTGGCCTGGCCCCCAGCCCACACCGGGGCCTCCCTGCCCGGCCTGGCCCCCAGCCCACCCTGGGGCCTCGCTGCCCGGCCTGGCCGAGAGGACAAGCTCTCCTTCCCGCTCCCGTGGGCGACTCCAGGGTGCTGCTCTCCTGCTCAGCAGCCCCACGAGGCCCAGCGGGCCCAGCAGGCGGAGGCAGGCCCCGCCCCCAGGCTGCACGGCACACACGCACCCAGTGCAAGCCCGGCCTGACCCTGCTCAAGCTTCAACCCTCTGTCCACACCTCCTCTGGAAAATAAATCTCCTTCCCGTCCCTGCCAGGCCCTGGCTCTGAGGCCACCGCACTGCTGGCCGCATGGCTACCGCTCAGCCTGCCCTGAGCACCACGGAGGCGGTGGGACCAGGCACCAGAGCCTGGGTCAGGGTGGGGGCCTCGGTCCTGACACCCAGCCCAGCCCCTCACCGTGGCGCCCGCTCCGGCAGGAAGGCACCCTCCGAGGAAGCAACCCGAGAGCCCCCGGAGGTGGGGCACAGCGGGGGCAGCGGGAGAGCAGCCCAGGGCAGGAGGACGCGGCAGGAATGGACGAGGGCAGCCGAGGTGCCCCTGCAGGGCCAGCCCCCACCCCCACCCCGGCGTGGGCGCCTGCAGTGGGCAGCAGGGTAGCTCCTGGAGGCCGTGGGCGCCCAGCGGCAAAGGCGTCTCCACACCCAGCGCCCAGCGCGAGCCAGGCTGTGAGCAGCAGCTGAGCGCTCAGCGCGGGGTGTGGCCAGGGGCACTGCACCGCGGGACCGAAAGCCTAGTGCCCAGCAGACGGCAAGCAGCCCATGGTCCTCCGAGGACAGCTCTCTCACCAGCAGGGCCGGTGACAGGATGGAGTCGAAGCCTCCACTCAGACAACAGCACCAGTGACTGAGCTACCCAAGGGCCCCGGCCGGCGCTGTGGTGCCGCGGGAAAGCCACAGCTGCAGCCCCGGCCTCCCACGCTGCAGCGCCAGCTCAGCCCCAGAATGCGCCGGGGAAGGCAGTGGAACACGGCCCAGACCCCGGGGCCCTGCACCCGGCTGCGAGACCCGGCTGGAGCTCCTGGCTCCTGGCTTCGGCCTGACCCAGCCCCAGCTGTTACAGCCATGAGGGGAGTGACCCAGCAGAGGGAAGATCTCTCTCTCTCTGTGTCTGTCTCTACCTCTGTCTCTCTGTAACTCTGCCTTTCAAATAAATAAATAAATAAGTCTTTAAAGAACGAAGTCTGCTTGGTAGATGACTGTGGCGCTGGTCTATTCCTGCCCAGGTGCGTGAAGAGTTCAAAGGTCGTGACCTCCGTCAGCGTGGGCGAGGTAATCTGTCAGACTGTCTCCCAGCACTGAGGCTGTCTCTCAGTGGCTGGCAGGGAACACGCGGCCAGACCCAGGGGCCTGGACCTGGATGACCCGGGCACCAGAGCCGCCCCCCAGCGGCAGCAAAGCTGAGCACGGGTTGTTGGTGCCACGTGCTATGTAACCACGCAACCACCACGGGGCTAAGTCCACGCAGTGGGACAGGACACGTGGGATTCCCCTACATGGGACCGGCGCACAACACCATCCATGGGGAGGCCCTGAGGAGCCCCCGCCATCAGATTCTACCACGGAGCCGGGTGCTTCGCGGCCGCTGTGGGCCTGCGGTTGCCCCAGGTGGGCTGAGGCACGCACGGAGCAGGCAGCCCCAACAGCTCTGCCCGCATCTTCCATCAGACAGGCTCTCCAAGATCCAGAAGACGACGCCGTGGTAAGCAACGATGCCATGGCAACCACCGACGCTGTGGCAACCAGCAGCCCGTGTTCCAGTGAGGAACCCTGGCTAGCACCCGCGGGCCGACACCCGTCCCCTCCCACTGCGGCCCGGGGCTCACAGCACCCAGGGGCGTGCGGCGGGCGCCTGGCAGGGCTGTCGGCGCCAGCTGCGGAACCAGCTCAGCCAGGTGGCCGAGGCCCAGCTGTCTCCCCTCTGGGCAAAGCCACGGCCTCCACCGTGGCAAGGTGGGCCCGGCAGGCATGCAGGGCGACGGGGAGGCCGTGGGTCGACGCGAGGCCCCTACACGGTGGGCTGGGCCGCAGGCGGACCCTCACCCCTCCTCCCCGAGACGCTTGCTCAGACCCTCGGGAGGTGCCTGAGAAAGTCACAAACAGGTGACAACGTGAAAGCCATCTGGGGTCAGTGAAACTGTGCGGCCAGGCTCCGCCCCCAGCTGCCCCAGCCACAGACCCAGGGGGAGCCCAGGCAGGCCCGGGCGGCCAGAGCCTGAGGCCGGAGGGAGGGGCTGGGGGAGGGGGCACTGCCCAGGCCCACCCCTGGCCCAGGCCGCTCTCCCCACCCACCCCGACCTGCCGGGGGAGCCGGATGTCCGTCCTGGCCCCTCTCCCACCCCGACCTGCCGGGGGAGCCGGATGTCCGTCCTGGCCCCTCTCCCCACCCACCCCTACCTGCCGGGGGAGCCGGATGTCCGTCCTGGCCCCTCTCCCCACCCACCCCGACCTGCCGGGGGAGCCGGATGTCCGACCTGGCCCCTCTCCCCACCCCGACCTGCTGGGGGAGCCGGATGTCCAACCTGGCCCCTCTCCCCACCCCGACCTGCCGGGGGAGCCGGATGTCCGTCCTGGCCCCTCTCCCCACCCCTACCTGCTGGGGGAGCCGGATGTCCGTCCTGGCCCCGCTCTCCAGGAGCAGCTTCACTGCGTGCACGTCCCCGGCCTTGACCGCCAAGAACAGGACCTGCACGGGCGCGCAGCACAGGTTGGGGTCTGCCCCTCGGTGCAGCAGCAGCTTGATGGTCAGCCACCTGTTCCTGTGCCTGCAGGGACAGCACAGCACGCAGCCCCGTCAGGGGCAGGCGCCTGGCAGGCCTTACCCCCGCGGGCTCCAGGGCCACGGCGCTTCCCGGAGACCCCGCCCCTGACCTGACGGGCACAGAGTGCTCCCATCGCCAACCCACCCTGCGCAACCCAGCCCCCACGCTTAGCTTCCCGGAGTCGCCCACCAGGGCGGGGAGGGAGGCGGCACCCCTCCCTCCAGGGACAGCTCGGGAACAGGGCCCGGCTCAGCCCTGAGCCTGCCGAGACGTTAGACCGTGTGCCCACGCCACGCCACACACATGGACGCTGCACGCCACACACACCACACACACACCCACACACACACATGTCACACACACCCACACACACGTCACACACACCCACACACACATCACACATACACACACACATCACACATCCACACACACGTCACACAGTCACACACACGTCACACACACCCACACACACGTCACACACATCCACACACACCCATACACACGTCACACACACACACACACACGTCACACCCACACACACATCACACATCCACACACACGTCACACAGTCACACACACGTCACACACACCCACACACACGTCACACACATCCACACACACCCATACACACGTCACACACACCCACACCCACATCACACACACATCACACACACACCCATACGTCACACACATGCACACACATCACTCATACCCACCCACACACATGTCACACACACCCACACACGTCACACACACATCACACGTCACACAGTCACACACGTCACACACATGTCACACACACCCACACATCACACACATGCACACACGTCACTCACATGTGTCACACACGTCACATACCCACACATGTCACACACACGTTACACACACCCACACCCACGTCACACACACATCAATGTCACACACACGTCACAGTCACACACACATCACACGCACATCACACACATGCACACACGTCACTCACACACCCACACACACGTCACACACACACATCACACACACCCACACACACATCACACATGTCGCACACACCCACACACGTCACACACACCCACACATACATCACACACATCACACACACCATACTTATCCCACCACACGCACTCACCACACACATGTGTTACATACACAGCACATACTACACACACACATCACACTTATCCCACCACACACCCACACACACACTCACCTCACATGCAGCACATACACACATACTACATACATGCTGCACACATCACACCATACCACACGCACCACACATACAACCGTACACTCACCACACACACTACATGCATACCACACATATATCATATACACACCACTCACCACACGTATACACGCACCATACACATACACCACGTATACCACACACCACACACCACACACCCAGCCCCCCGCACACCGCAGAGGCTGTGCTGCCCCGCGCAGGAGAGCCCGGGGGGCAGGTGGGGGGCAAAGGGGACGAGGAGGGAGGTGGGGAGTGGGGCCAGGAGGCGGGCGGTGGCTGGCACGACCCTGCTGACCACAGGCAGGGACCAAAGGCAGCAGGGGCTCTGCGCCAGTCTGGAGCCCCTGTCCCCGAGCTGCCGGGTCCGGGACCCCCCCCCCCCGAAATTCTGTGAGCCCCTCCGCCCTCGCCTTGGGTTAACACTGAGCCGCCCCGGAGCGCCTGGCGAGGTTCACAAACCTAAGGAGCCCAGCGCGGACAAACGGCGCTCTCAGAGGGAAAGGCCCGCAGTTCCCACCAGACACCAGCCGGGGGTGGCACGGTCCGCTGCCGCGCCCCGCGTGTACCCGCTGCGTCTGGGGAGGGACGCAACCCACCCCGCGGGCGGACCCGGCCCTGGCGGCCCGCACACACACAAGTGGCCTTGGCGGTGAATCCCCTCAGTGCCGGATGGGCTGCCTGTGTGCCCGTCCTCACCTTGCCCGCCCTGGAGAGCCCGGGCCGGCGCTTGGACGCGCCTCCCACCTCGCCCCGGGCGTCAGAGGGCTCAGTCACTTCCACCGCCTCGGGGACAGCATCCCTGTGTGACCGGCAAGGACTGGCCACGCGCAGCGACGGGGCGAGGCCCACTCCACTCCGCCGTGCGTGCGCCCCCTGCTGGTGTCGGCCCCGCGAGGGGCTGACCTAAGACTGGCTTCCAGGTCGCAGGTTTGCTGAGAGGGGGTGGCCCACCAGGGTGTGAGGACCCCATGAGGGAAGGGGGGGTGGAGCCTGCCCGGGGCTCGGACCCCCGCAAGCGGCAAGTGCTGACGAAGATGCCATACAGCCATGGTCGAAGGCACTAGAAGGGAGGCGGGGCCTTATGGGGGTGCCGGACCGGAGACCTGGCTCTGGGGATGTCACCTCCTGCAGGGGCAGGGACCCCACGTGGGTCCCCTAGAGGGCCCCGTGACTTACTCCACCATGGACAGCGCCATCTTCCTCATGGTCCCTTTGTCCCTGGCGGGGGGCGCGGGCAGCATGCTGTGGGCCTGCGCCCCCATCTCCAGGATGTCCTGCGAGACCTCGATGCAGAAGTTGTGCACACAGAGATTGGACTCGAAGTGGGTCTCGTTGCTGTACAGCGTGCACTTGTCCGGGTTCGCCTTGTCTGCGTCCCCAGCGCTGCCCTTCGCCAAGGGGCAGTCCTGCTCCTGAGCGCAGGCCATCGGCACGGTGGCCTCTGGAGACTGCTGGGGGCCCGGACCAGGGCTGCCCTCGGCGTCTGGGGCGTGCAGCGCCTGCAGCTGCTCAGGGCTGTCCTGCACAGGCGCCGGCCCCTCGTCCCCAGGCTCTGCGTCCATTTCGTCCAGTGAAAACGTGAGATTTGGAATGCCTTGGGGCTTGGGGAGCTCCTTCGGAAAAACCCGGAGAAGACCATTAGAAGGAAGCAGTGGGCAGTGACGCCCACTCCACAGCCTCCCCGCAAGGACCGGCCGCGGCTTCCAGCAGCCAGCAGAGAGCCTGGGCCAGGGCAAAGGCAGTGCCGCAGCAGCTCCTGGTCCCGAAGCCTCAAAGAGGCCGCCTGCAAGGCCACCACACACAGACCTGAGCTGGGTGGGCCGCGACCCGGGCGGGGGCTGCACGGCCCCAACACCACCCATCCGGAAGTGAGGTGTACTGGGTGTGAAGGGGAGGCCGGCGCAAAGGCCGACTTCCTCCAACAGTCCTGTCCGCCACAGGCCCCGCTCCATCACACACCCCACCGTCAGACTCCCACCCACCGTCACACAGCCCCACCCACCGTCACACAGCCCCACCGTCACGTCCCCACCCCGCTGTCACACAGCCCCACTGTCACACGTCCCCACTGTCACACGTCCCCACCGTCACGTCCCCACCCCACTGGCACACAGCCCCACCGTCACGTCCCCACCCACCGTCACACGTCCCACCCCACTGTCACACAGCCCCACCGTCACACAGCCCCACCGTCACGTCCCCACTGGCACACGTCCCACCCCAGTGTCACACAGCCCCCCCGTCACACGTCCCCATCGCACTCTGTCCTGCTCCACCACACAATCGACTGCCTGTGTTACAGATACTTGAGGTTATGTACGTTATATATTGTTAAAATCTTTTACCTTTTACCTCATTAAAAAAATGTGAGAGGCAGAGAGAGACAGAGAGCTCACAATACTGGCTGCCTTCCTAACTGCCCACAACGGCCAGGGCTGGGGCGGGGCTGATGCCAGGACTCAGGAACTCAATCCAGTCTCACACATGGGTGGCAGGGCACCCACCACCTGAGTCATTTCCTCCAACTCCCAGAGTGCACGCTGGCAGGAAGCCAGAGTCAGGAGCAGTCAGCGCTGACCCCAGGAACCAACGCGGATGCAGCTGTCCTAACGGGTCTCAACCACTACTCCAAACCCACCTGTCTGACCTTTTTTCTTAATGCGATTATCAAAAACCTTAAGTTACGCATGTGGCTTACAATATCTCTGTCAAATGGCCCTTGTCACTTCTGTTTCGAGAGGGGTTCTCGAAGTGCGGTGCCTGGACCACAGCACGCCTGCCACCACAGACCTGTTGGAGACGCACGTTCTCGGGCCCCCCCAGGCACCTTGTGGGGGATCCTTCCTCCACGCGGCACCCTCTCCTGCTCTCCGCGGCATGGCCAGCCCCAGGACCCCCAGCTGCTGGGCACGTGGCTTGCAGGGAGCACACGTCCGGGCGTGCCCAGGCTCCATCCTTCGGACACCTTCAGCAAGGCTTTCTCTGTGAACTCTCTGAGCCTGGTGCACACCACAGGGAGGTGGCTGGGGGACACACAGCGGAGAGCTGGGCGGTGGGCGGTGGGTGGTGCTGACCTGGGGCTCGGGCAAGGTCCTCTCGGCAATGTTGGGCTTGAAGGACTTGGCAGGGTAGTGGAGGAGGAAGCACATGTTGAGTGGCGTGACACCCTCGTCCGTGCGCTTGTTGACGTCAGCCCCAAAGTCCAGAAGAAGGTTGACGACGTCCATATGACAATGAACCTGGAGGAAGAGAAGGCCAGGCTCCTAAGGAAGCAGCTGGCCCCGCGCCAGGGCTGAGCAGGGTGGGGTGTGCACAGAGTAAAAGACCGCCCTGCCCCGGCCTGCCTCTTCCATCTGACTGTGAACGCCACCCTGAGGTGGGGGGTTTATGTGGAGACACCAGCATGGCCGTGTACCTCCATCCTGTGCCTTCACCCACAGGAGGGACCTCACAGGTAAGGGACCCTGCGGGAGCCTGCTGGGGCGGGGTGGGGCTTACGGCAGCTGCGGCCAGCACGGTGTAGCCCTTGGCATCAGCCACATTGGCGTTGGCAAGATTGTCCTTCAGGATCCCGGCAATCCAGTCGTGGTCCCCTTCCTCGGCCTTTAGGATCATCTCCCGGGAAAGCTGCTCCTTGGGCCCACAGTGTGCAAAGCCCTCGCGGTTCCCCTCCAGGATGGCACCCATGTTCCAGCCGCTGTGAGCCTTCTTGTTCCTGGCGACACAGCAGGCTTCAGAGACGTTGGACCGAGCACCAGCCCAGCGCCTCCCGCGAGGAAGGGGGCAGGCGACTCCTCCTCTCCCATACTGCTCCCCACAATCCACTCCTGGGGCACCCTGAGCCCTAGAGCCCAGCTGGTGTGGGCAGTGTAGACACGTGCAGTGGTGGGGCCATGTCCCCTGCAGGGCAAGACTCAGGGCAAACACCTGCCCCCGCAGGAATGAGCTGGCTGTGAGCAGACCCAGTCACCTTGAATTCACCCCAGCGAGTGCACGTTCTCTGGGAAACAGGCGCTCCAGGCAGGAAGAAGGCCAGCACATACACAGGTCCACAGCTCGGCCCCACGCTCCTACATCCTGCATCCTCCTCTGCTCGTTCACTTTTGTTCAAGTAGAGAGTAGGCATGGCCATGGCCCATTCACCACACAACACTGAGCCCGCTGTGTGCACGGAACCCCCCTTCCTGGCCAAGAACTCATGGATTTATGTCAATTTCTATACACAACAGTCATCAACAATTAGAACTCAATTGATGTTTTCATGATGATGGTTATGTGGACGGATGAACAGGAGGTTGGTTACAAGCATGGTTGGATGGTTGGTTGTTTGGTCTCATGGATGGATAGGTGGATAATTGGAGGGTTACATAGATAGGTGGGTGGGTGGATAGATGGATGAAGGAGTACCTGGATGGATGGATTTATGGTTACATGGATGGATGGTTGATTGGTTTCATAGTTTCATGGATGGATGGATGGGTGAATAGGTGGGTGGATGCCTACCTGGATGAGCGGAATAGAATGGGATGGATGGATGGACGGATGCTCACATGGACAGGTGGGTGGATGGATGGATGGATGGTTACATGGACAGATGGATGGATGGGTGGACGGTTGGTTGGTTACATGGACAGATGGATGGATGGATGGATGGATGGATGGCTACATGGACAGGTGGGTGGATGGATGGATGGATGGTTACATGGACAGATGGATGGATGGATGGATGGATGGACGGTTGGTTGGTTACATGGACAGATGGATGGATGGATGGATGGATGGATGGATGGATGGCTGGCTACATGGACAGGTGGGTGGATGGATGGATGGATGGTTACATGGACAGATGGATGGATGGATGGATGGATGGCTACATGGACAGGTGGGTGGATGGATGGATGGTTGGTTACATGGACAGATGGATGGATGGATGGATGGCTGGCTGGATGGATGGATGGATGGCTACATGGACAGGTGGGTGGATGGATGGTTACATGGATGGATGGATGGATGGATGGACGGACGGACGGTTGGTTGGTTACATGGACAGATGGATGGATGGATGGCTGGCTGGCTGGATGGATGGATGGATGGCTACATGGACAGGTGGGTGGATGGATGGTTACATGGATGGATGGATGGATGGATGGACGGACGGACGGTTGGTTGGTTACATGGACAGATGGATGGATGGATGGATGGATGGATGGATGGATGGATGGCTACATGGACAGGTGGGTGGATGGATGGATGGATGGTTACATGGACAGATGGATGGATGGATGGATGGATGGCTACATGGACAGGTGGGTGGATGGATGGATGGGTGGTTACATGGACAGATGGATGGGTCTGTGGTTGCATGAATGGTTATATGGATGGAAACATTCTCCTGTACTCAGAAAGTAGGCACGTGCATTCTACAACAGTCCAGTGTGACTGGGCCTACGGAACAGCCGGCTGCTACCCAGACAGCTGAAGCTCAGCACCTGAGGAGGCAGGAGACGCCTGAGACCCTGCACTCACGCAGGAGACAAGACCAAGCTCCAAGCTCCTGGCCCACCCTGGCTGTTGCAGCCATTTGGGGAGTGGACCAGTGGATGGAAGCTCTCTCTGTCTCTCCCTCTTTGTCTGTTGCTTTGCCTTTGAAATCAATCAATCTTTAAAAAATAAACGGTGTAGTGAGAGCGAGCGAGAGTACTGTGAACAGCTCTCCTTCGGTGGCTGCTGTCTCCTTTGCTGCTGTGGTGGGGGTCTGTGGAGACCATCAGAGCTGCTCCGTCTTTTCACGGCTATCCCTGGAGAAGCCAGAGGCCCCCAGCCCACAGGCACCAGCGGTGCTCTGCATTCTACCTGCAGCTCTTGGCCAGAGCCTGCGCTGACACAGAACAGGCGCCCGACCACACACTCTCAGCAGACGGGACACGGGTGCAGCTCAGGGGGCACTGGCTCTCACCGCCCCAGGTCCCAGAGCCAGGATTCGCCCTCAGCTCCCCAGCTCAGGAATGGGAGCCGTGCCCCCTCCCAGGGCTCCACAGCAACCTGGTGGCAGCCCTGACCTCATGCTCACCAAGGAACCTCTCGCCCACTTGTTCCCACAGGTGCGGCGTCCATTTCCTGCCCGGACGTAGTTGGCCCCACAACCCTGCCTGGGTTCTCTCCCACCTGTGCACTCTCCCACCCACCAACCCATCCGTCCTTGCAAGCCTGGCAGGGACTCCCTCACCCCAGGATCCTCGGGCTGCGTCAGCCACTTAAACAGAGCAGCCTCTTCCCACTGAGCCATCGCTCGGGCCCTGACAGCAGCAGGGGACACCTGTCCAGCGAGGGCACTTGTGGGTCACCTGAACTTGTAGGCTTGCTTCTGGATTTTGACCAACAAAGGGGTCTCATTTGTTATGAGCCAGGGTTCCTCGTCCTCAACAAACAGGGGGGCGTCGTCCAGGAAGATCCAGGCGTCCAGTTCTCTGCGGAAGGCGCGCGTCATGGGCAGGTGGCAGTGGTCAGTGGAGTAGACGTACATGTCGGGCGGCAGCGGCAGCTCCTCGTGCAGGAGAAACCGCTTGTACTCGTAGAGAAAGGGGTCCTGCGCCTGCTGCGGGCCGCACTCCGCCCTGCCCTCCTCCGAGGGGCTGAGTCTCGCCCTGGACTGCTCGGAGAAGCAGGCGAGCTCGGGGTGGCTGAGCAGGGAGAAGCCGCGGGGTGCCTCCGTGCACAGCTTGATGAGGTGCTCGCGGAACCACAGCCCCACGTCCTGGCTGCCGTCGGGGTAGGTCTCCACGCCGGGCCCAAACCGCTCGTCCGCCCTGTACAGCCCCTGCAGGAGAAGCCTGGCTGGGGCCGAGCCGGGGAGGGGGCTGACTCTGCGGCCGGTTCAAAGTCAGAGGAAGACAGCGCATTCCCGGAAACACACCCACGTGGCCGTGGCTGACACCGACCTCGCCTGGGGCAGGGGCCGGTGCTCTGGGGAGCAGGCGCGAGGGAGACGGCAGGGAGGGGCGTGGCCTCACAGTGAGTGGGTGGGAGACCCTGCACAGAGGGCTCACTCCAGGCAGCTCCCTGCAGACCCGACCCTGGGGGCCGGCAGCGTGCAGGGCACAGGACTGGACAGGCCTTGCAGGCCTGACCGAGGGGGGCGAGGAGGAGGAGAACAAGGGTGAAAGATGGAGGAGGAGGAGGAGCACACAGCTTCCAGGTGCTTCCATGGGGTGGGGTGGGTCACCTCTCCCCCTCCCCCCCTTCCCGGAGGATACTCAGAAAGACGGAGCCAGGAGGGCTGCCGCCAGGAGACTCCTGCAGCAGCTGTCAGGGAGGTGTCCGGGAACAAGTGACAAGGGTAGGCGCACTGCCAGGTGCCCACTCCCTGGAGGAGGGGCCTCTCCCTGGACATCCGGAGGCCACCGGGAGAGCAGAGGGGACACACAGGGGCCGGGGGCTCTCCCTCCCTGGAGCCTGCACAGGCCATTTGCTCAGAGCCCTCCGTGTGCTGGACAGTGCCTGAGGCCGGGCTGGGTGTGGGACCCGTGGGTCCAGGGTGCTCGACACTGCCCCCTGCAGGACGCTTGCAGTCTGCAGCAGGAGGCGGAGCTGGAGGGGGCAGACTGCAGAGGCTGCAGAGGAGGTGGTGGGGGACCGTGCGGAGCAGTGAGCGGGGAGTGCGCGGCCTCGGGCGGGGGGGGGGGGACCCTCGGGCAGGCCGGGGGCCCTGGAGGCTTCTGAGAGGCACTGAGCGGGCGTGAGGCACAGGGAGAGCCTGGGGTGCAGCTGCTGCAGATCTTGTGGAGAGAAGGGGTCACACCCTCGCCCCACAGCGCTACCCACGGGCCGAGTCACAAAGGCACCATGTCCACCTCCGCGGTGACCCCACAGCAGAGCCATCACTGGCTCCCGGGGTCGCCCATGGCTTCCAGAGTCAACTTTGGAGCAATGTAGATGTTTTACATAATTAAGCAAAACTCCAGAAAGACCCTGAACACGCGCTCTTTAATAGGCAGGCAAAATAAAGCCAGGGACTGTGTCTGTCTCCGGGAGGTGGACCGAGCGAGGCGGAGATCCTGTCCCCTCCCTGAGGGACGATCCCAGGCCGACAACAGACACGAAGCCCCCCAGCAGTCCCAGAGCCGTCACGGTGCTGTCACTCGGGAGCCACGGAGCACGGCAGTGAACCAGTGGATGGAAGACCTCTCTCTCTCTCTCTCTCTCTCTCCCTCTCCCTCTCACTGTCTGTAACTCTACCTCTCAAATAAATAAATATTTTTTAAAAATGTGCTTTTCAAATGACACTCTGAAGAACATAAACCGCAAGCCCACTGTGAGGAAACACGTGTGACTCACACCACCGAGCAGCGCTCGTGTCCAGAATGAGCGCCAAGAACCGCGCTAGTCGCACAAGACACCCAGTAAGGCAGTAAGGTAAGCAGAGCAGAGCTCGCGCAGGTCTAGACGTAGCAGAGGCAGAACGGGCGTCACCGGGGGCCGGAGGGTTAGGACGGGACGCCACGACGCCCCCATGGGAGCGGCTCAACCAAGGAGGTGACAGCCGAGCCCGCGGGGCGTGCAGGAGGCGCAGCGTTCACACGCTGATGCCGTGGGGAGGAGCCGGCACCGCCGCTGGCAAGCACCCTGGTCGTCCCGGTGGTGCCGCGGCCGTGGCCCTCTCCCCAGACTCACTGACTCGCTCGCTCAGCTGTTCACTTCCACCTCCATCACCCTGGCCCCAAACACACAGAGAGAGACCCACAGAACCACTCCCCTGGGAGGACAGACTCGCCAAGGCCCAGAGTGGATCCGACAGGTGCACCCGGACTCCCAGAGACAGGGGCGAGAGAAGAGGAGCCACAGGCAGACGGAACCTTCCGGGTCCCAAGCAAGACACGGCCTAGACAGAAGATGGGAGGAACGGAACAGCAGCCAGAGACAGATTCTGTTCCGGGGAGCAAGACCCAGCTGCTCCTCAGCCGCAAAAACGGAGCCCAGGAAACAGAGTGGAGCCTGCTGTGTCCAGGGAAAACTGGGAGACTAGAACATTCTGTGTCCTGCTCTCCACCCTCTCCGCACTGCTGCAGCCCCCCGTGCCTGACCACACGCCCACCCACGTCCGTCCCCACTCCCAGCTGCTGAGCTGACCAGTCTGAGTGTGCAGTGGCCCCGCCCTTCCTCACCTGCCCCACCCCCTCACCTGGACATCCAGGGCCCCACCTCTCCTCACCTGGACACCCAGGGCCCCGCCCCTCCTTACCTGGATACCCAGGGCCCCACCTCTCCTCACCTGCCCCACCCCCTCACCTGGACACCCAGGGCCCCGCCCCTCCTCACCTGCCCCACCCCCTCACCTGGACACCCAGGGCCCCGCCCCTCCTCACCTGGACACCCAGGGCCCCGCCCCCTCACCTGGACACACAAGGGCCCTGCCCCCTATACCTGGACGCCCAGGGCCCCATCCCCTCCCTGGACACCCAGGGCCCCACCCCCTCACCTGGAAGACCCTTGTCTTCATGTACATGGTGCCGTAGCCTTCCCGGCGGCTGAGGTAGAACGTGCCTGTGAAACTGGAGCCGTCCGGCCACACGTAGGTGCCCAGGCCGTGGCAGTGGTCCCGGTAAAACTGCCCGCGGTAGGACTGTGGGGCAGAGACCAGTGAGGAGTGAGGAGCCTGCCCTGCCAGAGGCCACAGGGTGGGGGGCACTCTGCTCACCCCTGGGCCCCACCCTCCGGGCTGTGACCCCACCTCCTCCTCAGAAGACCCTGGCCAACGGCCGCCCGGCAGGGAGGCAGGTCCAGTGCCCAGAGCTGAGCCCAACAGACCAAGCAGAGGACGCCTTGCCCAGTCCCCAGCTTGATGTGGGCTTGGCCACACCACCCACCAGGCGCTGAACAGGGCGCCCCGCCCACAGCCCACCTGCTCCACCCCTCGGCCCTGCCCAAGGCTTGCCTGCTCCACCCTCAGCCCCACCCACAGCCTGCCTGCTTCACCCTCTGCCCCGCCCAAAGCCCGCCTGCTCCGCCCCTCCCAGCCCAGCTCCCCCTCCCACCGCCCCTGCACGGGCTTGGTGAGCACAGAAGTGGCCACAGCTGCCAGGGTGGGCATGGCCACGTGGGGGCGAGAGACTCCAGCTCCTACTGCGTTTCCGGTGGAGGGGCTGGGCCAGGTATCAGGGCTGCTCCCTGAAGGGGAGGGAGCACTGGGAAACCTGCAGAATCCAGCGTCCCGCAGGACACAGGGCACACCCCGCCCGGGCCGCTGCCCCAGCAGGGACCCCAGAAGCCGGAACCCTGGGCCTGGCCTCAGGGCGGGTGCGGGCAGGTGTTTTCTCTCTGCCTCTGTCGGCCTAGACGCAAGGCGACTTCAGCCCCAACCTCCCCCGCAGGCCCCGCTGCCCCGGCCAGGGAGGGTTACCTCGCCCGTGGGCCAGGAGAACTCGCCGAATCCCAGCTTCGTGTTCAGCCCAAACTGCCCCCGGTAGAAGCAGCCGTCCTGCCAGTGCTGCTCGCCCTCCTCCAGCTGCAGCCGGGCCTCCTCCAGGCAGCCCTCCAAGCCCTCCGCTCCCTCCTCCTCCTCCTCCTCTTCCTGCTCCTCCTCCTCCTCGGGGCCCATGGGGGCTTCCCTGGGAAGGCAGAGCAGAGGGGGGCAGTGAGGACGCTGCGGGGGTCCTGGGAGCGGGAAGCCCGGGCCCTGCAGGAGCCCACTGCGGCCCCCGCCAGGCAGGAAGCAGACAGCACCCACGCGCGAGGGCAGCGGACAGAGGGACAGACGGACCCGGACGGAGGGGGCGGGCCGGCGGGCGGCTCGGCCTCTCTCCGGCTCTTGCTGGGTGTGCTTGCTAACTTCAGTGAAGCCCACCCCTGCCAGTCTCACACGGGCGCTCTCGCGCGCGCTCTCTCTCTCTCTCTCTCTCTCTCTCTCTCTCTCTCTCTCTCTCTCCCACCCTCGCGGCTCCCGGGGACTCTGAGGACGCTGCACCTGTCTCCGGCCTGCTGACTGCCCAGCGTCCTGCTGATGGCCTGGCAGGCAGCATGCGACCCCGAAGCCCTCACACCCCCACTGCCCCACCGGCCAGCCCTGCAGCGCCAGCCCACAGACGCCGAGCCAAGCAGAGCGCGTGTCCGCGGGGAACGCACAAGGCGGGCTCCGGTGGCCTGCTGTGAGAGGGACAGCCGCCGGGGGGCGCAGCAACGCCCGTGGCCGGGGCAGCGCTGGGCTCCCCTGCCCTTTGCGGGCCTCCGGACAGCACAGCCCCGGGGGCCAGCCTTCGGGCCAGCAGCCGCTCAGAGCCCATCCACTAGAGGGCGCCCCTGAGAGCGGGGTGGCGTCCCCTCCCGGGGGAAGGGGCGACCTACGGGGGAAAGAAGAGAAGTGGAAATTCTATTAGTTTTCTGACACGGAAGCAGCCCGCAGGTCGTGCGCGGCCTGCCTCAGTCTCCCCATCCGCAAAGTGGGGTGGCGCCGTCTGCCCTGGGTGCTGACGACAGAGACAGGCTGGCTGCGCATGAGGCGTTGCGCACGGCCGAGCGCCCGGGCCCGCTCCTGACCGGGGCCGGCCGCTCCCCACCCCGGACTGGGGCTCCGACCGACACCAGCAACCCGCCGCGCCCACGGCGGGCGTCGTGAGGGCAGCGCCGGCCGACGCGGCCCCCTGTCCCTCCAGACCGCGCCACAGCCCGCCGGTCCTCCGCACCCCTCGACGGCGGGCCCGCACCTCTGGGGGAAGAGGGCCGAGCTGTCCGGCGACGACCGCGGGTCCCCGTCGGCCGGGGGCGCGCTGGCACTGCCCTGCGGCGAGGGCTGGGGGTCGCAGGCGTCGGCCGCCTCGTAGTCTGGGATGAAGGGGGAAAGACCGCCTTCCATGTTCCGAGCCTCCGAACCTGGGAGCGAGAGCGGGGCCACACGCACGCCTCAGGTCCCCTGGCCAGGGCCCGCAGGGCTCCTGGGGACCCGACCCTGCCGGGCAGCGGCGCCCCCACCGCCCAGACGCCGAGTCCGGGGTCGCCGCCCCCCTCCCGGCCCTCGCCGTCCGGCGGCTCTGGGGTCTCCCCGGGCAGCGGACAACGCGGCGCAGACCTCGCCTGTCGGTCGGACTGCAGCGACCGCAGCGCGGGGTTTCCCTGGAGACAGGCCCCGCCCACACGCGCGCGGCCTCCGCCAATCCGCGCCCGGTGGCCCGGCCCCGCCCCCTCTGTGACCTCACTGCCCCGCGACGCGCCGCGTTGGCCGCCGCCGTTCCCGGGGCCGAGGGGCTGGGGCGCCGGCTGCTCCCGCCAGCCGCGGAGGCTGGCCCGCGCGTGCCCCGCGACCCGCGGCCACCGTATGACCGAGCCGGGATGTCCGGCTCGGTGGACAGGCAGCACGGCCAGGCGGACAGCGTCTCCGCAGGCCGGGCCAGGGGCGCCCGCACCCCCAACCCAGCGACCTGGAGGAGGGGATGGGGAGGCAGAGCGGGGGAGTCCACGGCCGCGGTGTTAAGCCCCGGCCCCCGAGACCGGAAAGGTCTCACAGTGATGGAATGTCCGCGCTGAGGCGGGGTGAGCTAAGCCGCTGCCTGCGTGTGGGCGCCGGTTCGAGTCCCGGCTGTGGCGCGGGCGCTGACCCGCGTGGGCCCTGACCCCCGTGGCCCTCGCCCAGCGGATGGAGGACTCTGCCTCTCCGATAAATAAATCTTAATAAGTTTGGGTGAACTGGTAAGCGGGGCAGATCCAGAACCGATCCTCGGGGTGATGGCTCTCCGCTGCCCTGAGGCCGCTGCGGGCGACCCTGGCCCCGCTGGCGGCGGCGTGGACACCCAGCAAAGCGCGGCCCGATGTGCGCGGTCCCGCACCGAGCACCGCGACCCAACGGAGGTCCGCCCCAGACGAGTGCTGGGCGCCGTCAGCCGGCCTCGGAGCAAAGCGCGTGGGGCCGGAGGGACGCGGGGGCCGGAGGTGGGGGGTGGGGGCTCTCGGGGGCCGGAGGTGGGGGGTGGGGGCTGACGGGGGTCGCGGGGACCAGGCGGAGGTGCGGGGCTGGCGGGAGCAGGGGCCGGGGGCCGCGCTTCGGCACCGACGACTGCGCGCGGCCACCCCGGAGCTGCGACAGTAGAGCGCCGGCAGCCGTGCCCCCGTGAGCAGGACTCGCGCAGGGCAGTGGGTCAGCGCTGTACCAGAAGCCTGCGGCCGCGGGGCCCGTCCAGGACGGCGCGGAGGCCTCAGCCAGGGTGCCGACGTAGCCTCCGGGCCCGGGCGTCCCTCGAGTCCCCGCCCACCGGCCCTCCCCGCGGCCGCGGCGCGGGCCAAGGGCACTGCGGGGGACGCGGGCGGCCGGCCTCGGAGGACGCGACCCAGCGGGTCCGCGATGCGCCCGGCGGCCGCCCCTCCGCCGCCGCCGCCCCTCGCGCGCGTGGCCCCCGCGCTCTTCCTCGGGAGCGCGCGGGCCGCGGCCGCCACGGAGCAGCTGCAGCGCGAGGGCATCTCGCTGTGCGTCAACGTCTCCCGCCAGCAGCCCGGGCCGCGCGCGCCCGGCGTGGCCGAGCTGCGCGTGCCCGTGTTCGACGACCCCGCGGAGGACCTGCTGGCGCACCTGGAGCCCACCTGCGCCGCCATGGAGGCCGCGGTGCGCGCCGGCGGCGCCTGCCTGGTCTACTGCAAGAACGGCCGCAGCCGCTCGGCCGCCGTGTGCACGGCCTACCTCATGCGGCACCGCGGCCTCAGCCTGGAGCGCGCCTTCCAGGTGGGCGGGGCTGATCCCAGGGGCGGGGTCCAGCCTGCCGGGGGCGGGGCGGGCTCCCAGCAGCCGCTGGGTCTGCTACGTGACGCGTGGGCAACCTGACTTGGTTCCTTGGCTTCTTGGCAGATGGTCAAGAGCGCACGCCCGGTGGCAGAACCCAATCCGGGCTTCTGGTCTCAGCTGCAAAAGTACGAGCAGACCCTGCAGGCCCGGTCCTGCACGCCCGGCGAGGCTCTGGCGACGACGTCCCTACCCCCGGAGGGGGCTGCCGGCGTGCAGCCTCAGGGGTCTCCAGCGCAGACCCGCACGCCTCCCTCCCCCGCGGCGCACTGAGCCTTCGGGCCCCGTGAAGCTGACCGGGGTGGGGGTAGAGCCTCGTCCGCCCCAGCAGACTTTGGCCAGGAAAACCCAAGCTGCTGGAGAGGTTCCAGGCGGGCAGAAATTCCGTGCGGGGAGATGGAAGCTGCGGGCGGGGCCAGCCAGTGGCCTCTCCTGCGTCCCTCAGGCACTCAGGGTCCCCATCCCAGAGCTGAACACCGACCCCTGCAGAGGTTGGGGCTCTGGTGTCGAGGCAGAGCCGACTCCATGGGTCAGGGGACCCCTGGTCCAGCCTGCCCCCCAACACCCTACCTAGTCTCCAGGTTGTACCAGCATGGTGCCCCCACCTGCCCTCACCCGGCCTCCTCCCGTGGACAGCCCATGCCATAGAGACTTCTGGAAGATCCTCTGCTGTCAATATCCAGCAGCTCGGAGTGGAGAAGAGGAAAAGGAAAATTCAGAAGTAGTTGTCTGGATCACAGGCAGCGGAGACACGGGTTCACACGTACGGGGCCGGCGCCGTGGCTGGTGGGTAGTCACTGCCTGTGGATGCTGGCCTGGTCCCACCTGTTCCATGTCTGATCCAGCTCCCTGCTGTGGCCTGGGAAAGCAGTGGAAGATGCTCAAGTGTTTGGGCCCCTGCACCCACGTGGGAGACCCAGAAGAAGCTCCTGGCTCCTGGCTCCTGATTGGCACAGCTCCAGCCATTGTGGCCACCTGGGGAGTGAACCAGTGGATGGAAGACCTCTCTCTGCCTCTGTAACTCTGCCTTTCAGATAAATAAATAAATACGCGTAACCTGATGAACAAGGAGCCCGGGTGGTGCTCATCCGCTCCTTCTCCCCGGCTGGTGCCACCTGCCAGGCACTGCCCGGCCCAGGAGCAGCACTGGCCCCGCTGTCCTTTCCAGCCAGGCTGGGCCCGCCCAGTGGAGCAGCCGTGGTTCCCTGAGGCCCTCGGCTTGGGGCTCAGCCTCCTGTCCAGCAGGACACCATGGGCCTGGTGGCAGCACCCTCCCTAGGGACCTGGCCTCTGGCTGGCATCCCCGCACCCCTGGCTGTGACGGGACACGTGATCCTCGTCAGAGCACGCGCCACACCCTGCGAACTGTGCCTCAGCCGCGGCCCAGCAGCTGCTGCTCAGGCCACCAACCCCACTTCAGCCCTGTGGAGGGCTCCCCTGCCTCGGCCCTCCCCAGCCCAGCCCCCCCTAGGGAGCCTCTGCCTGGGCCCCAGCTTGGAGAGGGGGCTCAGCAGTCCGTCCCCGTTTCCACCCAGTGCCTGCTCACAGGTGTAGAAGCCTCAGCGCGGGGCACCTCCCTGCTGGCCCTGGCCACGAGGGTGGAAGGACACCTGTGGGTCACACCCGCTCCAACCGCAGCTCCTTCGACCTCAGTCCAAACACCACCCCTTCCAGGGTGCCTCCCAGGTCAGGCCAGGAGTCCATCGCGCCTGGGGCACCAGCACACGGGAAAGGCGCGCCCAGGCCCTGTGGCTAGAAGGTGGGCTGCAGGCAGGTATGAGCGCTGCTTCACCGCCTCGGAGGCCAGAGGCCTGCAGGCAGAAACTGGGCTGCCAAGCCCGGGGCAGGCGCGGTGCCCGGAGCTCTCCGGCCGCCCCGCCTGGGGAGCGACGCCACCTCCTGCCGCCAGGGGCGCTCCAGGCGCGGGCGGGGGGCTCCGGGGCCGCTGCCTGGGGGCTTGCGATTTGCACTGCCCCGGCTTCCCGGCCCACACTGGTTCCGTGACCTGTAAGGGCGTTTGTGCCGGCTTCAGTGCCGCCGAACACCGATTTGCTTCCTCAAGACTCGCTGCCGGCTCCAGCATAAATGCAGGGGGGCCGGCTCGCCCCGGGAAGAGGGCCGGTTCCGCAGGGGCGCGAGGGGAGGGGCGAGACCCCGCCCACCGCTCCTCCAAGTCCAGAGGCCGAGGCAGCAGGTGCAGGACCCCAAGCCTGGGCGCGAGGGCAGCGCGGCCGCCGCCGTGAGTTTTGAGAACCGACGTTCTTCCAGCATCCCGGGCCTGCCCGCTCTCGCCCCCTCAAGTCCGGGGTGCAGACCCGAGCCCCACCTCCGGGGACGCCGCGGCGATGCCTCCTGTCGGAGTGCACATGGCCAGCGCGCCCTCTCTGCCATCCGCTGGAGGGCCCCGAGTCCAGGGGGACAGCACTCCCCGGGGATGCGGCTGCCCAGGGGCCCCTTCCCCCCTGGGAATCGGAATTCTGAGGCGGCGACAGCAGCGCCCCGTGGTGCTCCCCGGCCTGGGCTGGCTGATCCAGGCGTGGGGCGCAGCCTTGTCTGCCGGGCCTCGGGACAGCACCGCCCGCCGACCTGCTGGGGAGCCGTGCTGCGTCCACTGCCCGCAGCCCGCACCTCGCACCCCGGGCCCTTCACGCACGGCGGGCGCAGCTGCGCCCGGTGAGGATTTAAACGGCCACACGTGGACCGCGCTTCCGTATTTGACAGCGCAGCCGTGAGGCTCCCAGGCTGACCCACGGAGGCGGTGAGGGATCTCTGGGGCCGGAGGCTCACGGACACACAGGCCGCACGGAGACCGCCGACCTGGGGGCCCGCGGGGAGCGGCCGTCCCGCCTCCCGGATTCTCCCTGGCGTGGGCCAGGCAGGCAGCGCAGAGTGCAGGGCTGGGGAGACCACTCCGCCGCCCCGCGCACGACGCCCCAGGCTCCCGGCTCGGCGCCTCGGCCCGCTCGGCGCTCCAGGCGCCGGCTCACCACGCGCCGCGCGCCCGCGTCCCCGGCCACGACGCCCGGGCACGGCGGCCCCGACTCGCGGACGCCCAGACTCACGGCGGCCCCAGCTCCCCGGCCCTCCCCGCCTGGCTCGCAGCGGCCCGGTCCCGCGCACAGCGCCCCCGGCGGCGACCGCGCGGAGCCCGAGCGGGGCGGCGCACGGCGCGGGGCCGGGCCGGGCGGCTCCCGGCGCGACTTCCTGTTGTGTCCGCGCCCCGCCGCCGCCGCCCGGCGCCCCTCTTCGGTCCCCGCGGCCCGGCGCGGCCGCCGCCCATGGATTTCACCTAGCGCCGGGGCAATGGCGGCGCAGTGCTGCTGCCGCAAGGCGCCCGGCGCCGAGGCCGCGCCCGCCCGCCCGCCGCCCGAGCCGCCGCCCGCCCTGGACGTGGCCTCGGCCTCCAGCGCGCAGCTCTTCCGCCTCCGCCACCTGCAGCTGGGCCTGGAGCTGCGGCCCGAGGCGCGCGAGCTGGCCGGGTGCCTGGTGCTGGAGCTGTGCGCGCTGCAGCCCGCGCCCCGCGCGCTCGTGCTCGACGCGCACCCGGCCCTGCGCCTGCACTCGGCCGCGTTCCGCCGCGCCCCCGCCGCCGCCGAGACGCCCTGCGCCTTCGCCTTCCCCGCCCCCGGGCCGGAGCCCCCGCGGCCCGCCTTCCCCGAGGCACCCGGCGCCGAGCCCGCCTGCTGCCCGCTGGCCTTCAGGGTGGACCCGTTCACCGACTATGGCTCCTCGCTCACCGTCACGCTGCCCCCGGAGCTGCAGGCGCACCAGCCCTTCCAGGTCATCCTACGCTACACCTCGACGGACGCGCCCGCTGTGAGTCCGGCCGGGTGGGCCTGGGCCCCGGGGCTGCGGGGCGCTGGGAGCGGCCTGGCACCCCCGCTGCGGGGGCGGTTAACCTGCACCGTGAGCCAGGGGCAGCCTCCCCGGAGCCAGGGCTGTCCAGGTGCCCCCAGTGAGTCCCAGCTTTGCCTTGAGCCCTTAGGAGCCTGCGTGGAGCTCCTGGTGCCAGGTCCAGGCCAAGTGGGCAGTGGAGACAGAGGACACATGTGACCCAGGAAGGCCCCGGAGTGGGTGTTGTGTCCCTGCCCGGGACGGGGCAGCTTTGGGCAGGCGCTGCTGAGCCAGACATCCAGGGGCTGGGTGGCAGGTGCAGAGGAGCCTGGGAGGGTTGAGCACCCAGCCCTGTTCTCTGCAGTGAGTGACACTTTGTCCCAGCAGGAGGCGAGGGCGGGCCAGGTAGACCGCGGTGCTCAGTGCCAGCTCACCCAGCTGCGGCAGGCAGGTGCTGGCTCCGTGCTGCTGACGCAGACCTGGCTCTGCGGGGGTTGGGGCAGAGGGCTCTCGCCGGCCCCAGGAGGCCCGGGTCAGGCCCTGTGACTACAGCGCCCCCTGCAGTGGGGCTGGCAGGAGGGAGCGCGGAGCCCGGGAAGTTTGGAGGGCACACCGTGCCGGCCAACATACATACGGAGCCCTCAGCTTTGGCGGCCCTGGGAGTGCCATCTGTCACTGCACGCGAGCACACACAGTGGTGCAGAGGCCCAGGGCTGGGGGCCAGGCAGGGTCCACCCAGCTGACATCTGGACAGAAGAGCCCGGACCACGCAGCCTGTGGGTTTCCCGCACACTTCCCAGAGCCCTGAGCAGGGCCTGCCGCTCACCTTCCCGGAACCCCTGCTGCGGTGCCCCGGGCTGTGACAGGTGCACGGGCCTCCAGCATGGCCGTGAGAGTGGAGGGGCGACTCCTCCCTGGCCTTGACCTGTGACCTTGGAGCCCACGTGTCTGGTCCACCCAGGAGAGTGGCCGGCAGAATGGTGGGACCAGGGCCTGTGTCGCCCTGGGCTTCCCTTGGCCGGCTGGCGGGGCGCTGGGTGCTCCCCACCTGCTGCCTGGCTCCAGGACAAGGGGCCGGGCTGGGCGCGCTGGTAGCAGAAGCCAAGCGTCGGGCCTCTAACCCGGGCACCCACTTTTGCACATGGATGCTACAGGGCTCAGGGCCACCTCCCCAGACCTGGGCCTGCCCCAGGAGAGGATGCAGTGGGTATTTCCTGGGGGCCCCATGAGCAGGCGAGCCCACCCCTCCAGAGGCAGCCTGGGGTGCCCTCACCCCTCGCACCCCAGTGCTGACCCAGCACCAGCACTCCTGCTGCTCCGAGTGTGGGCCCTTCCTCCCACATCAGCGCGGTGCCCCGTCAGGGGCCCGAGACCCAGCTCTGGGAGTGGGAGGGGGACCTGCTGCAGCCCTCAGTCTGGGGGAGGGCTGGGCCCCCCCCCGGTCTTCAGGGACACGGCCAGCTCACTGAGGTGGAACGAGGCCAGGGTAGGGGCTGGAGGAGGACAGGTGTGAGTGCCACCGGTGTGAGCCGAGGGCCGCCTGCCTTGGCTGCACTCCGGGAATGTCCTTGCTGTAAGACCCGAGCCCCGTGGACAGCATCTGCCATCTGGGCAGCCCAGAGGCCGGCAGGGGCAGGGGCAGGGGCAGGGCCACCAGGAGGAAGTGGGGGAGGGCTGTGAGCTCAGTCCGGCGGGTCTGCTGGGTCTGGGGTCTGTGGAGACCCAGCACTGCTGGGCTGAGATCCGCCGGCCCTGCCAAGGTGGCTGTGGACAGTGGGCTCCAGATGCAACCCGGGAGGAGTGGCCAGACCCACAGACCCGGCCACTGGGGGACAGGAGGCACCACTGGGCTTCAGTAATAGTGTGACCAAGGGCAGGTAGGGGCCAGGGCCAACGGGGCCCGTAGCTGTGCAGCCACCGATGGGCCAGTCCCTCGCTCAGACCCCAGGCTTGGGTGAAAGGTGACAAGGGGAGGGGGAGGCTCTGCCCTGGGGGTGGGGGCTGGGAAAGCCCCAGCAGCCACTGTAGGGGTGGGAGGGAGTGGGCCAACTGGCAACCTTGGCCAGAGGTGGGCGGCCGGGCCCCAGCTGCCAGGGAGCCCGCCCGAGCCAGCCTGCTCCACCACCACCCCTGCCTCCGTGCCTGGCTCTGCTCGCTGCCCGCGTCCTCTGGCTTGGAGCCCTTCTGCCACCCCAGGCTGACCCCTCCCCGTCAGGTGGGATTGGCGGGAAGCTCTG